TCTTTACTGTGCTATAATTAATTTATGGATGTGCGTGGGTGCATCAATTTCTCCGGATATCATCACGCCACTGATCACGTGATAAGTACAGAAGCACGTGGTGACTGGTGAATGGCTATGGCAGAGATTGAGAGTGGTGGTAGTCCTCCTCCAAAGAAGAAGTGCTCTCCTTGTCGCTCAAGACTAGACGTTTTGCTTCTCCTACGAAGCCAGAAGCTTTGGGCTACATCTGTTAGCCGTGTGTATAACATTGGCATACCAGAGAAGATTATTTCGGAAAAGTCAGGGCATAGGAGTATTAAAGGATTGCGTGCCTATGAGCGTACCTCAGATGAGTTGGAGAGAATAGCTGAGAGAAGTATTACAGGTGAACCCAGTGGAGCTCTGTGTTATGAAGTAAAGAAAGCTAAGAAGGAGCCCGAGGAGCACTTTCCTCATCCCAATTTTTCTGCAATGAGTAATTGCATAATTAATATTACTTACAACAAGTGAACAGTTACTTTCAATGATGCAATTCAATCATGATCTTGTTGATAACAATTAGACAAGTTAAAAATCAAATTCGTTAATAAAATTCATGATGATTAGTCTAGTTGGGCGGTCTGTATTCCCTGCTATGTAAACATAAGAATGCGTGCATTATGGCTGATAATGGTGCAGGCGGTGTTTCTGATGCACCCACACACTGTTCTATAAGTACATGTACAATATACCATACCTTCATTAGTTGGCCCATTAATTAGCGGTGAAATAGAATCAGGCAATGTCACTTGTGGTGAGGAATTATAGAGAAAGTGAATTCTGAAATAAAATTTTAAAAGTACATTAATTAGTCAATATTGCATCAAAATATGACGCATAGCATTTCACCTTTTATTAGTATCAATTAAGAGCCACTTGTTCCCAGTATTAGTTGATATGGGTAGCAGTGAGTGAATAGAGACAGGGAGACTAAGACTGGAGCACAATGGAGACGTAGAGCTGAAATCCAAATGACTCACAACATTACTAAAAAAGAGGCACACAAACACATAACAGTGTACATGATCTTATGTTGATTATCAAATGTGAGCTGATTCCCACTTAAATTGGATTTTTACAAATTTTAAAGTGACTCATAAATTGGGCCAAAGACCAAAGGCCTTTGGTCGCTGGTCAAGTTTTGTCAAAATTAAAAAGTAAAAATTCACTATTTTTCTAATTTGTACTAATGTATATACGTGTTCTTATGTATTTCAGAAAGTTTGAAGTGATTCTGATTACAATTGGATCTTTTATAAATTTTTAAAGTTGATCCAAAATGCACACTAACCTTCCTCTTTGATAAATGATGACAGAATTACCATTAGGACACTTTGACAAGAGAGATATATCCTTTAAAAACAATTAATAAATTAAAAAACATCAAAAAAGATGTACACTTGCTAAAAATGGCTTACATCTTTCTTCTTTCCTCTCCAAGACCCAAGGAATCTTCCAGAAACATTAGAAGTCGGAAGGAGAACTTTAGAAAGATTAGCATTACTTGAATCCAATAAATACAAGATACCAGTCTAATAAAAATAATTACAATTATACTGTCCATTTATTATGCTCACAAAGCCTTCGTGTATCAATATTTTCCCTCCGTGTGGTCCGTTATCCACAGGGTCCAGAGCAGTCAGTGATATTAGAGGGTGCCCGGGACCCCTGCCTGATGGTAGGTAATTAAACAGATCAATATAGGAGAGTGTGTCATTATTAATATTGAGTGTATAAATGGACGGCAAGACATGTGTTATCACGTGTAGGAGATTACCACCAGACTCTATGAAATAAAATTAAAGAATAACAAACACAGCATAAAGCTATCACAAAAATTATTATTCATAATTAATGGATAATAAGTATAGCTACATACTATTATCAGTTGATGTACATATTGATGATATGTCATCTGATTCATGAAGAGGGATGACCCACTGAGATTTTATTTCTGAGAACAATCTACTCCGAATAACATCTCTCTCACACGGTATTGACTGCACAGGCAACTTCTGACCATCCTAAAAGAAAGAGAGAAAGAGACAAAGTATATAAGGCAAAAATGTGATATTTAAGACACTTACGGTCAATTTGATTTTTGTTTGCTCATACTTTAATTTCTGATAATTTGAAGTATCAATATTGAATGTATTAGCAAGAGCCAAGGCTGGTAAAGGATCCCTATTATAATAACGATAATAAATCATATTACTTGTAGCATGTTATTATACTGATGACTCACTTTGTAGCTAGTCTAACATTCTTTCTGTTAGCTCCAAGTGGTATCCCGTGTTTATGAAGCGTTGATATGACAGTGTCCAATAAATGTGAGGAATAACTGTCAAAATCAAACACGTTGCGGACAATAGTGGATACTCCTTCATTTGGAAACATCTGTACATAATAACAATAACAATAATAATAATAATAATAATAATGATAATAATAATAATACTAATTTTAAACATTTAAAATATTTCTATACATCTTTTTCTGACTTTCCTCAAACTACATATATATATATATATATATTCATTCTAACTTGCTCTCTCCTTGTGTGTATTTTTGATAATAATAATAATAATGATATTAATAATAATAATAATAATAATAATAATAATAATAGTAATAATAGTAATAATTCCTTTCTCTTGTGCTTTCATTATATTTTTCCCTTGAGCTTTCCTTCTCTTCTTGTATTACATTAGTAATGACCTCTATGTTTATTGTTTAATTTTATAATTATAAATATTATACCCTTGCCCATACGCCTACGCGTGGCAAGGGTAATAAACAAGAATACAGATTGTGATGTCTTAGAAAATGCAAGAAGAGACTGTGAGTTAACAATCAGTCACAACACAGCTGCTATACCTGCATATGCTTGACGATATTAACAACTTCTCTGGTGGAGTAAGGATAGGATATTCTTCCCTCGTCCGCCATTTCTCTTAAATCGGAAAATGCAGAGACTAGCTTTTGCAGGATCTTTTGCGGTACATCAGGACCATATTGCGACACCATTGACTGTAAAATGGGAAGAGGGTTGGAGTTAAAAAAACAAATAGAAGAGAGTACCATTTCAGACTCAAAGTCAGGATTATCAACAGCATGGCAACTAAAACAATCACCTAAAATTGAGCACAAAATGTGAAATAAGCAGCTAATAGCTTCATTAACTCACCTACTGCTGCATAAAAGTCATTGCCTAGAAAAGGGAAGCCTGGTCTGTTGGCCAAGACTATCATCCTGAAGTCAGAATGAATTGGAATAGTATCATCACATACTTGTAAAGGAGACCCTATAAAGACAACAAACACTACATAATAAATGAATGCATCAGAAAATAATATTCTCGAAGCCACATATGACCTGGCCTTTACTACAGCTAGTAGTACTACAGACAGCTAGTAGTACTACAGCTAGTAGTACTACAGCTAGTCTTGGGCCAATGAATTAAAAAATTCATAAAAATTCCAATTGTGATCAGAATCACTTCAAACTTTCTACACAACATTAAAACATGTATAAGTACCAGGAAAATTATAAAAATTAAGATTTCTCTTCTTGTCATTTTGGCAAAATTTGGCTGAAATCCCTGTACTATAGTACAGGGATTTTGGCCTGATTTTTGAGCAACTTTAAAAACTCATAAAAAAATCCAAACTTGATCGGAATCTGCTCAAACTTGCTACACAATATAGGAACATGTATATGCATCAGGAAAAATTATAAAAACGCAAAATTCTCTCCTTGTCATTTTTGGCGAAATTCGGCTGAAATCCCTGTACAGGGACTTTGGCCCGATTTTTTGAGCAAATTTAAAAATTCATAAAAAATCCAAACTTAATCAGAATCCGCTCAAACTCACTACACAATATAAGGACATGTATATGCATCAGAAAAAATTATAAAAATGCGAAATTCTCTCCTTGTCATTTTTGGTGAAATTTGGCCGAAATCCCTGTACTATAGTACAGGGACTTTGGCCTGATTTTTGAGCAACTTTAAAAATTCATAAAAAATCCAATCATGCTCGGAATCACCTCAAACTTTCTACACAACATAAAAACATGTATATGCATCAGATAAAATGATAAAAACAAAAAATTCTCTCATTGCCATTTTTGATGAATACCCTGTACTATAGTACAGGGTACTTTATTAAACTTTGAGTAACTTCAAAAATTCATTAAAAATGTAATTTTATCAAAAGTAGCTCGAACTTTCCACATAACATAATGTTACGTAAATGCATCAAAAAGATTCTGATTCTTTCCTAACTATTTTTGACATGTACACTGCACATGCATTTTAGTACCTTTTGGCATAATCTTTCTTCCATCTGATAGAGTTATTGATTCTCCATTGACGATGTTTCTCAATATAGCAGTGACGTGAGTGGGAGCTTTATCTGCTTCATCAACTACTAATACTCTACCATACTGCACTGCACGAACCTATAGATATCAACCGTTAATGCATAAAAACAAATGAATTATCAATTATACCAAAGGAGAGTCTTGATATGTTATTCTTCCATCAATAACTGATGGCTGAGTTGTTAGTGTTTGAACTGTAGAATCTCTTAAAAAACAAATAAAAATATTAAATGTTTAAAATAAGTCATTAAAATCAGCTCAAACTGTAACATAAGAAAGTGGGCATGTACATATACATACATGATGATCGCATTACCTGTGTAATTGAAGATATTCTCTTGGGGAGTTCATAAGGTGAAGGAACCTATCAGTTAGCTTATTCTTACCAACTCCTTGATTACCAATCAGTAAGAGATGCTCACCCAAACTGTAATCCTTTAACATGTCCTCCATTATGCGTACATGCTATGGACGGAATACATACATGTACATGTACATGGACTTACCAGTGGGTTATCGTAAAAAGTGACATCGGGTACCATGGCTATGTCACTAGTAGGAGCATGGATAGGTACTTTGGTGCTACCGATTCTTAGTAACCCATTAGCCCTTGAATCTAACAAGTGGTGAACATACATGTAAAATATGTAGGGCTCACATACATTGCATATCATTATCTGAAACAGGAGAAGGTGAGGGATGAATATTATTAGAAGTCAAAGCTCGAAAGAGAGCAGATTTAGCAACTGGAGGCAAGAACCTACAAGTATACATTATCGCTGCATCTCTCCTGTCCTCCTTACCTTGATAAAGATGCTTTTAGTATTAATCCAAAAAGATCCCCTTCTTTTCCATCGCTATAATGAGCCAAGTGATGAGCAATGCGTAGCAGCTGTCTTGTTGATAGCGAAGAAGAAAGTGCAACTAACTAGTAAAACAAGAAGTAGTATTTAGGAGAGATGAAGAACCCATCACTTACTGTAGGATCATCAGAATGCCTTAGGAAATGAGTAAAGTTCAATAATTTATCAATGACATTAGAAGATAAACTGGGGACCTTTGAGAGACATTCATGTACAAGTATGTTAATAGATTACTTTTATTTGTATGAGCCTTTTCTCTTCCTCTTTTGGTAATTGCAAGACATTCACAAATTGAAACATTGACAACAGTTCTGGGGTCAACCAATCGTTGGGTTGAGTGGGAGTCGCCTCACCAACAGCAACAATAAAAAATTTAGGATGAATAGGAAATATTTTTCTACAAAATAAAACGTCTACAGTCTTACTCCTTCCTCTCTCTTACCTTTCTCTCATTTCTTGTTCTGTAAGTCCAGATACATTTATCGCCTCAATAAACCTATCATGTCTCAACAACCTTGTACCGTCAGTCAAATCAACTTCACGATCTTGTACCAGCCTAAATAAAATACAAACACAAAACATAAACTGAATTACAATGTGAGGACTATATGGTACTAATTAAGAATGTAGCGTTGTGCTGTCCCAATGCATTATATGTAAAATAATGAATGGATACAAATGTACATGTACATAATGAACTCTATCATACAGTACAGACACCTCTTAAGAGTTGATGCAGTGCTACTATCAAGCCTATGTAGCCCATCCAGTACAGCCATGGATCCATTAACAGCAGCTGTGATTAATGGGCTCATCCTCCACCCAGTGTCACCATTGCTGGTAGTTATTCTCTGCTGTAGCAGGTCCCTTGAGCTCATGTCTTGATATAACACTATTGGCTCTATGGAATAACCCAGTGTCTTTGCTAACTGGCTTATCAACATTGTTTTACCGCTGCCCTGCAGTGAGTATTAGAGGGGAGACATCATTTAATAGCCTTTCTCACCTTCTCTCCTACTATACACAAGTCACCAACCGACTGACACTGCATCATAAAATTAAGACAAGAGCTGTGAGAAGGAAGAGGGACAAAACCACCTCCTTCAACAAGAGGAGCTCGCTCACTAGATACTGTGACTGCTGACGAGGTAATAAAAGAGGGTCCAAATTTCTAAAATGATACAAGTTTTATCATACACGCCAGGAGGAGGAGGAGGAGGAGGAGGTGAGGGCTCACTTCCAATATTCCCTCCAAAAGTTGTCCACTTGATAATAGTCTTGATGGATAGATAGACTCGATTAACCGAGTGAGACCAATTGATGGATCATTGGACTGTTAGTAATGAAAAAATTGATAATAAAATACAGCACAAGAGAGAAAAAAGAGGATAATATCAGATATGAATGCTCACCAATATAGTTAGCAGTCTGTCTAACTGTCCAGTAAGATTAATAGGACCGCCAGAATGAGATTGGGTCATAGATAGTATTGTATATACAATAGAGAGGACAATGGAGAGGCTAAATGTAAGTGTTGAGTATACGCAGTAAAGACACTAATCATATACATCTACTTTTGTTCTGAGATGCTAGGATAAGCTTGTTTGCATTCTTCTAAAGCTTCAGGGAATGGAACAGGGAGAATATGCCTTGCCTGTTACATATACACAAGGAGAGAGAGGCACATAGTGTGCCTGTACATGTACATGTACCTGATTCACTACTTACTTGGAATCTTGATCTAAGAGGTGGATCCAAAGTGTTCCCGTGGTAAGGCGGTACAGGTAGACCTATTGCTATTACTCTAAACTTTTCGCTGGCTCTAAGCAACTTCCATGAATTCAAATCATCAACTGAATGATCCTAGAAATAGCATGTACGTACGGGTAATAAAAATGATGTACACGTATACATGTACATGCAATGACTCACTGCAGCAAGTTGATCGTATCTTTCGTGAGACACAATGAACCTCCCATCATCAAGCTGTGCCTCTCTATTTTCCAAGAGATTGTTCAAAACAGGTAAGACATTACGCTCAGCTTTCTCAATGCCTTCCAGGATCAGGAGCCGACCATTAATGGCTGCACGAACAACTGCCTGAGAACAACACAAAGCAATGCAACAATTGAGGAACAAAAATACAAGTCATGTACTTTATATATAGTATAATGCTAGTGCTATCATACCTGATCTTCGTAAGTGACACTGCCATTAATAATCTCTTTTCTTTGCTTCATATCAACTTCAGTGCTGTCTCGAGACAAACTCACAAACTCTACCTCTCGTGAGACCAGCTCACCAAAAGAGAGGGCGAGATGACGAGGGTAAGGCCCTGGAGGACTCAACAAGTACATATCTTGACCAATCAGATCCTACACAGAGAGATCAAAATCCGTAACCATTTTTCTTAATGTTACTTTCGAAATCATCCACTTGAGGTGATGCAATACACTCTGTGATGGAGACTTGTTTACTGATAGAAAGAATGTACTATAATCTCCATCTCATTTCATTCTATTAGACTTACAATATAGCTTAGGGACCATTTCAGGATTAGAAGGTACATCTACAGTTAATCTGATGCCATCAATCTCGACTGATGAGCCAGACACTAGTATGATGTGGAAGAGAATTTTAATTCATTTTATAAAGGGACACTGAGATATAACCATACCACCAAGTAATAATGATTATTGTTTGAGTACCCAATCAACAGTTTTACATTAGCAATGTCTGTGCAATCAATCATCTCACGTTTGTGGGTCCCAGTGTGTAGTAGCTGCTTTGCTTGACGTGGTGGTGGACTGAGGAGTCTTCCCAGTTGTTTCAATCGCCTCTCAGCCGCCATTCTTGCCCTCATAGCCCTTCTGTAAACTTCTTGATACAATGATTGATAATAATTGTAACCACGTGTCTTCTTGTGTACCATCATGTAGATCTACGTGTACAGAATCAGTAGATTCCCGTATAGTCCCCCATTAGAATTAGCCCCGCCCATCTAAAGTCTGCATAAAAATGTCTCTTGAGCCTACAGTACCAGATGGAAGGAAATCTCCTCTTAGCCTCAGCAGGGAAGAGGTGCATTCAAAGTATGGCTGCTTCTTTCAAGAGTCAACTGTCCTGTCAGAATAGTAAGCTAGTAGAAAGACTATCAAAATTCTTTTATATCTTTTAAAAGTTGCCAGTTGCTGGAGCAGCCCATTCCTGGAGTATATGTACTTACATCTAACTTATCACCATTAAGTAAAGGAGTATTATTATGTGTGTTAAACTATTATTGCTATTTATAGTATGGTATGGATTACTATTAATAAAAATTGGTTTGTATGAAGGTGCTGTGTTTAAATTCACAGTCTCCATTCCTATGAATTATCCTGAAGGAGGCTGTCCAGTTAGTACATTTAGAACTTTAATCTAGCTGTTTAATACCAAGAGTATTGATGATTATTATAGTATGCTACAGTATGTCTTCCTCTTTATTAGAGGATTGATTTTCAGTCAGGAGTATATCATCCACAAGTTGACTATGATACCGGGCTACTTGAATCTAAAAGACAATTCCCAAGATGGCGGTAAGTCAAGCAGCTGCTAAATATTAATATGCAGCTCATATTTATTATAATATAGGAGAGATGTTAATAAATTACGTGATCTGCTCCTATTTATGAAGAATTCTTTTCTCTCCGTTGATTGCGATAAGCCTGTTAACGAAGAAGCAGCGTTATTGTAATAATATTTATTCTAATGTTCATTAGTGACATCCAGTGACAGGTTTGCTAATGATAAACCAGAATATAAAGAAAGAGTAAAGAAAAGTATCAGAGAATGCAAACAAGTGGTGTTGGAAAAAAGCGATGACAATGATCCACACGCAATAGAGTATGTTAGATTCACTGCATCACCATTCCTTTCTTTTTCTCTTTGTATATATTATTATACAGAATAGGGCAGTGGCATCATGATGTAATGAAATCAGCTAGAGAACTTATCTTTGAGCCAGAGGTAGATTTATTAGTATATTATATTTATTATTTTATTTATTCATTTCACAGTACAAGACTATATCAGAAGAAGATGCGACCAAAGGACTTCCTTCGGGACTTTCGTGGGTAAAACCAAACTCTTACACTCCTTTCAGTTCAGATAAAAATCATTAAAAATCATTATAATATAATAATAATTGAATTGTACAAACGTACAAGCAGAGAGTAGCAGGCGCGGCTGAAAATTGGCGTAAAAATTAATAGAATAACAATAATAATTTTTAGTCATCATCTTCTGGCTCGTCCCTCAATCCTTCACTTAGTCTTGGCTTACCAGCAATCTCCAATAATGCTCGAGCTTCTCTGTCCTTATCTAATATACTAACTTCTTTATCCTAATAGCACATAATAGATCTGATATTTTATAATTTAACTTTACCTCTTCATCGTCTTCTGGTATTATAGGTTTACCAAGTCCCCATGCTTCCATTATGTCAATAGTGAATTCTTCAGTTGAAGAGAGACAAGGTGATCCAAATGTGCTGCACTTTGGACGAGCTTTGCTGCTCCCTTTACCAAAGTCGGACGACAACCATAAACCAAAATAATTTATTTGTCCTCCCATTCCCTAAAAATTGTAATACACAACTTATGCAGCAGTTCTCAATAGTAAAACCCATATAAGCTTAGTTCCAGTTATAATGTTAATGCTTTCAATGATATTGTTATGAAATGCAAAGTACTGTAACTTAACCAACAAAAGCTAACAAATTTCTCTTACCAGTCCATTGGGTAGTGTCTGTGCTGATTGCTGTAGATACATGTAATTCTGATTATAACCGGTTGGCATGTATGAGCCAAAAGTAGGCTTTAATGTAAATAAAAAGCTACTGGTACCTAAGGGAGAAGAAATAGAAAACCATAATATCCTATCATTAAAAACCATAATACAAAAAATTGTAGCTATAGCCCAGTTACCAGTAAAAGTCGGAGTGAATTTCCAGGGATCAAAAGTCACAGCTCCAAAGACATGCCCACCAGTGTCCTTAATGACAAGAAGGATAGGTCCCCTATCCAATATCTGACGACACAACGTGGAAAAACTCTCTCCGTGAAGTTTAGTAGAAAATAACGGATACATGCAGCTCTTTAGCTCGTGAGGGAGTATACTATGAATGTATAGCATGGATCCATGATCAAGTATATGAGATTTCATGGACACATTTAGTTTCGGATGGACTACGACGTCGGGTAGAAGAGTTTCATCGTCATCAACTGCTTCGTGAAGAGTGGAGAGAGGAAGGATAAAGGAGAGCTTAAAGAAAGACTGGATTACAAAATTAGCAAGTGAGCAGGACATTAACCAAATTTGGATTTCAATCTTGTCGAGCGTTGGAGCTCCCGTCTTGAGGGATTTCGTCAAATAACTGACCATATCCTTTAGAGACTCCTCGTTACCAGGCCAGTACTTGTACTGAGGAAAATGAGCTGAGCTTAATTTATTGGGCATTAATAAGAAACATAGGAAACTTAACAAGAGAGCCTCAACTTTATCAGTGCTCAGCGGAGGCTTCAGAAGATGAGAAAATATTTGTGACCTTTGCTGTGGCGACCCCTTTACCAATATACTAATGTTCTGAACATAATTTGAATAAGTTACGTGACTTATGGGTGGAGTTACAGTACCGTCAGGCTGAACTGTGACGGAGAGAGCAGACACAAATCGGTTTGGATCAATGGTCTCAGACAAACCAAACGTAGTAGCATAAACCTTTAAAGTTCAATAATTATAACAATTAAAACCTTTATATGTTGACCTTACTTGAAGGTGAGAGGCAGAGAAACGATCGATTTCTTGCTGAGAAGCACATATAGTTTTGAACGAGTCTCGTACCAATACTTTCTCAGTCTCGTTCAGGAGAGAACCATATTTATCCAGCGTGTCTTCCTTGCTGTTGTTTGCACCCATTGCTGTTTCACTATTCCCAGCCACACCCAATAAAGGCTTTATTTAACCCTTTATTTTTCAAAATGGCTGATTCCCCAGAGGTACTTCAGGGCTATTTGGAAAAAGCAGAGTTAGTTGCTCGCAAAGCATCAGAGGTTTGGAATGCATGCTCGTTAATATTGCATTGCTAACTGTTCAGATAGTAGATGAAGCCTTAAGCAAAGGAGAGAGACGAGATGCTAGCATCAAAGGAATCAATACATCTGATTTGGTGACAGAGACTGATCTTGCAGTAGAGAAATTTGTATTTGAAGAATTGAGAAACTATTATCCTGACCACAAGTGAGAATTAAAAAACAACAAAGTGTGCATTTACAATGTAGTTCGTGGACTATTGATAATGCTCTCTCTTAGATTCATTGGTGAAGAGTCTGTTTCATCGGGTGGGGGCTCCTGTACACTCACTGATACTCCCACGTGGATAATTGATCCAATTGATGGTACTAGTAACTTTGTACATGGTTTCCCATTTTCTGTCATATCAATTGGTCTTGCTGTCAACAAAGAAGTAATAATTGATGGAAATTGTATTTCAGTACAGTTCATTTATACATGCTGTAGCTTGTGGTAGGTGTGGCTTATAATTTCTTTCAGCGTCAAATGTATACAGCAAGAAAAGGAGGAGGAGCTTTCTTGAATGGCAAACGTATCAGTGTGTCGAATGTTACTGGTAATAGTATAGTTTGATTTTGATTATTTAATTTGGTACTTTAAGAGCTCAATAAATCAATAGTTATCACTGATTATGGCAGTACAAGACAGGATTTTGAATTTATTCCAAAAGTTGAAATGATGAAAGCGCTAGCTGGAGACCCAGGGCATGTACATGGGTAATAATAATAATTAATGACTACTTTCTTTATTGCTCTCTCTCTCTCTTTTTACTAGTATACGGACTCTTGGCTCAGCAGTTGCTAGTCTGTGTATGGTTGCCAGTGGTAGAGCTGAAGCTTATTTTGAATATGGTGTTCATTGCTGGGACATTGCAGCTGGGGCTGTTATTGTTCGTGAAGCTGGAGGAATAGCTATTTATCCTACTGGTATTGTTAATTTTATTATTATTATTATTATTATTATTATTATTATTATTATTATTATTATTGTAGGGAGTGAACTGGATATAATGGGAAGAGGGATATTGGTTGCTGCTAATGTTGAACTAGCAAAGTCTATTGTTCCTATTCTGAAGCACATAGACTATCCAAGAGATTAGAGTATTTTAAGTTTTAACCTCATTATTATTCATGATAGTTAATTTAAATCTACTGCGCATGCGCAGAAATTCAAATTTTTCGTTCCAAAAAGTAAAATTCATAGAGAAAGAGAAGAAGAGATTTGGCGTGTAGTTTTCCCACCAGTACCTAGCAACAATGGCATCTCAGAACTATCCACCGCCTAGCAACAGTCGCTCAAAAACTGTAGATAGCGGAATGGCAGTCAGCAAAGACGGTCACTCAGTAACAAAGAGACTGAGACAAGACCTCACTACACTGATGGTAAGTATATAAACAAACCATCCAGAAACATCATGTGTAACACTTATAATCATACAGCTATCAGGAGACAAGTCAATATCAGCATTCCCAGATAATGATAATTTATTCAATTGGATAGCTACCATCACAGGAGGGACTGGTACTATTTACGAGTCTCAGTCTTACAAACTGACCATGTCCTTTCCTGGGCGTTACCCTTACAATCCTCCTGTTGTCAAGTTCCTCACTCCAATATTTCATCCCAACGTTGATGAATTTGGTAACATATGTCTTGATATACTCAAAGTAAGATGTATTGAGAAAGCTTAAATTAGAAAAAAATTAATTCTGTTTGATATCGATAATAGGAAAAATGGTCGGCTTTATTTGATGTAAGAACAATTTTATTATCAATACAAAGTTTACTAGGAGGTAGGGTACACTGTAAATATATAACATTTATTAAATTGCTATTGTGTTGTATTGTAGAACCAAACATCGAGAGCCCGTTAAATAGTGAAGCTGCTGATTTATGGGAAAGACCTGAAGGTAACTAACGTTATTGTTATTTTTTTGAATTCCTTGGGGTTTTCTGTCTTAGAATATAAGAGGATTCTACAAGTAAAGTATAGAGAAGCATCAAAAGCAACATAACCCAATTGCAAATTAATATTTATTTATGTTATTATTATTATTACTCGTCTTATTGCAAACTGTTTTTCTCTCCTTCTGTCTCTCATCATAATTCTTGTTTACAATGTCATTGTGTTTGTTACAGTTATACTACCAATCGGATAGTGAGTATGGTATGGTACTAATACTAGTAAGCAGTAATTTTGACTAGATTATCACAATAATTACGAGTTCAAGTTAAAATGTTAGTTCATTAGTACTTCCATTTGTACAAGACGTGCATTGATGTCTCCGGGCATTTGATAAGGTATCATTCCAGCAAAAGTTATCAATGACTGGGCATTTGTGCGTAGCCTACTCATCAACTAAAATATAGAAAATAAGAGACAGAAAGAAACAATAAGAAGTGTCCAATATAATACAGAGATTAAGGAGCAATAAATTCTAAAAATGGTACCATTTGTATCCCGTCATTTTGCTCTTTGCCTTTTACTGGAGTAGAACTAAAAACAAAAGGCAATAATGCATGTTCTATACGCATAATCTCTTACCTAGCTTTTCTATACTGAGTACATATAATGGTCATTACTGCCAGCAGTAGGTCAGGAAAGCACTGTCTCACCTACATGTACATAACGTACGAATTGAATAGTACCCATGGTAACAAACTACACCCACATAGTCACTCATTGTTCGAAATCCTTGAACTCTTTGCTCAACTTTCTCCCCAGGAGTCAGAGGGAGCAAGTGTAGCTTCTTAATGATCTATTGGCATACGATGATGATAAGAGTATCATTATTGAGGGGGCATTACATCAAAAGCTTGATCCAATCTCTTTGCATGATACGCATCAAAAAACTGCATCAGATCAAGGAGTAGGAAGAAAGTGTGGCTGATCTGCATTGATGTAGTATAACCATGGTTACGATACCTATACACACAAGATTAAAGGTTTAAGTATTATACTTAAAATGTCATACCTAATACCAAATTAATCATTTAATGTTCTTATCAATTCTTTACCTTTCAGCAATGGATACTGATAGTTGCTGTAATCTGTGACGATCGGACTGAGGTGGTGAGGGAGAAGAAACAACTCCACTTAGTAAGTGGCTCAGCAACTCCAGGACCTTCTCTCTCTCCTGCATACAAGCAAATGCATCACTACGTTAACTATGCTTACCTGTGCTAAGTCATAGAGTCTAACAGAGTCTTCGAAACGTCCTTGTCCCTCAGCCTCTTCTGCTATGAAACTAGTTATTTCAGCTTCGACTTTCTCTCCAACTTTAGGAGAGAATTTATTGATACAGCCGTGCTAAAAGAAAGAAAGAGCATAACATTTCCCTAATGGTTTTAAACTGACTCTTTTTGATCCATCCGGTTCTATTCTTCCAAGTATCATCTCAAACTACAATAATAAATTGAAAGGCTATAAAATGTCTTTTGCCAGGGAAATAAGTAAAAGATTGGTTACAAGTGGTAACGTACTTCTCTGCTCTCAAGAGCTAATTCACTAACACAAGAGAAAAAGAGATTCCTATCCAAACTGTCCTTTAAATCCCTACAAAAGAGCACCTCAAATAGTCCATGAAGACTAATTCCTCAATTACTTGAGTCTGTAAAAGTATTCGAGTGCTTCCCGAGGATCAGTCAATGCAAACTTTCTAGTGTATCCAATAACCAGTTTGCCTAAGTTAAGCCTTGCTATGCCATTAGGCTCATCCTTCACTAATGAAATAGAGAAAAATAATAATAAGTGGGCATGCTAATTGTGAACACTACTGGCTCTTACATAAAGGAGAATTAAAGGATTCACAAGGATGGAGTAGGTTTTGATCATGTAATGCAAGAGCAAAGTGAACTGCATGACAACGTAAAGAGTCAATACGTGACAGAAATTCTATCGCCTAAAATATTAAAAAAATAGCATATCAAATATCAGGCATATACTCACAGCTTCAAACTGAACAGTGAGGAGTAACACTTGAAAATAAAGATGTGGATTCCTTTGAGCATCAAAATGAGACTCACCTTATGAAATTAAAAAAAAAGATGACCAATCATTAATACTGGCTTACCATAGTCTTTAAGGAGTAAATGTTGCAATGAAGAGAAATTCAATTGATCAGAAGAATAGCCACCATCAACATTAACTTGACACAACTAGAAAAGTACATATACATTTAGTATTATAGGACCTAGCTAGTACTGACCTTTAGCCACATATAGTCCTCAGTTTTCACTAGTACCTGATAGTGTGTATTGTTTAATTCACATCTTCCCAGTACACAAAACACTGCTTTCTTGTAAGGATCAGTACTATTCCTAACTGTCTTGTTATACAGCTGCTTTAATGTATTCTCTGATGTAGGAGAGAGTCTATTGAAAGAAAGAACATATAAAACAGTATACACGTACACAACACCTGTAATCTGGCGTGTTCTGATACTCCTCCAAATATTGGGCTACATCGCTATAATTAATTATTTTCAGAATTAATGCAGTTATAACTTATGTAGCTTACTAATGACTCCCCAGGACAGATCTTGCAGCCTCTAAGTCTCCACATCTCATACAGTAGAATACAATAGCCCAAAGAGGCTGGCCGTCTACCAACTCATCCTACCATACAACAGAATAGATGTCTCAGGTGGTGCATTGTTTAGGAAAGATTATGAAAAGCTCCAGGAGCTGGGGGTGCTTGTTTAGAGAGGTGCATAGCAAAGTACACAGTACACTTGTAAACAACCAGACTTTCTAATTAGAATGCACCCAAAAATAATTACCAAGACCAGGAGGTGCACGCAATAAAAATTTTTTATTGTGGAAGCCGTGTAGAGGTCCAATAATTAGGAGGGTGCATTAATTGGGCGAGTACAGTAAGTTACTTGTTCACGGATTTTTATGAAGTTTTAAAGTTATTCCAAAATTGGGCTGTACAAGGACTTCGACCAAATTTTACCAAAAATTAAAAAGAGAGAATTCTCCATTTTTATAATTTTTTTCTGATACATATACATGTACTTATGTTGTGTAGAAACTTCGAGTTGATTCTGATCAAAATTGGATTTTTTATGAATTTTTAAAGTTGCTCCAAAAACAGGCCAAAGTACCTGTACTATAGTACAGGGACTTCGGCCAAATTTCGCCAAAAATGACTAGGAGAGAGTTTTCCATTTTTATAATTTTTTCTGATACATATGCATGTTTTTATATTGTGTAGCAAGTTTGAGCTGATTCCAATTAAAATTTCATTTTTTATGAATTTTTAAAGTTGCTCCAAAATCAGGCCAAAGTCCCTGTACTATAGTACAGGGACTTCGGCCAAATTTCGCCAAAAATGATTAGGAGAGAGTTTTCCATTTTAATAATTTTTTCTGATACATATACATGTTTTTATGTTGTGTAGCAAGTTTGAGCTAATTCCAATTAAGATTGAATATTTTAATGAATTTTTGAAGTTGCTCCAAAATCTATTTACTACCAACCTCAAGTCCAGGCATTGCTGATGCATGCTTCAATTTCAAATAACTCTGAATGAGTTTAGCTGTGCCAGGGACTCCTCCTAGTTGAGACTGAGAGAGATTGCTATACACTAAATCCTTTACATACTCCAGATATCTGAAAATAAGAGGAAGGAGCCATAAGATGAGACAATAATTAATACCATACTGTTTTTCAAGGAATGTTCTTGACTTTTGTATGAATTGTTTGAGAAGGTTCGACGATGATCTGTGATTATGAGCATCAGGAGGCAGCGTATGAACATCAAGCAACATCTTAAGAAGTAGCCAAGAATCCTTAATACTCTATCAAAAGCGTAAGCAACTAATAATAATAATAATGTCAAAGGTCGATTGGATACTTTGTCATTAAAGGATTTGCTTGCTTCATGAAACTTAGTCACTAATGCACAAGGGACATCGTGTAACTCAGAATCATTAGCATAATATAACTAAAAAGAGATGCAATGAGAGAGAGAAAGCCTGTTTGCTTAGTTACTTCTCTTGCATATGCCATTTCAACAGCACTCAAGGCACTGCGTCCCTGAAAACTAAGAGGATCAACATTAAGAGCCTAAATGAGACACAAGGAGACACATAACACCACCGATTATACTTTAATTACTTCAGCTTGTGTAGGAAGCTCAGGAAATTCTTGATTAGAAGGTTCAAGCAATGACTCTAAAATCTTCTCTTTCTCCTTATCCCATTCATCAATCGTGTGCTTCCATAATCTTTTATCAGCTTCGGAAAACCTCTGAAGTGAGAAAGCAATACTAAAAGGTGAGAGAAAAAAGCTTACATTATTCCTTGATTCTTCGATAATAGATAGTAAGGTATTCTCTCTCTCATTTCTGAGAAAACCCTAAAATTAATGAAGTGTAACTGCATATGCTACTTAGTCAAGCCAAACCCACTTCTATATCAGTCTCCCAGACTGGATCTATTGGCTCAAGATTCTTTGTAGCATTAAGAGTCTCAAGACGTTGAGAAGTCCTCGGGACATCAAAACCACAAGAACTCAATAATATAGAGCTATAAAGTAAATATATTATCATTATAATTATAAAAACAGTTGTTCTTACGCTTTCCCTTCTTTTTCTTTAGGAATGTCTCCTGTAGCTTTATTCAGGAGGCGCTGGCCAGCCTCAGCTATTTGGTGGAGGTTTCTATGGACTCGGGGGAGCTCATCGTTCCCTCCTATATCTGCTGAGAGTAGCTCTGCCTCTTGGAGAAGCTCGGAAAGATTTTTCGATCTGGACGCCATTACTTTTTCAAAGATTAATGTCTATGAAATTACACGTGTGCCAGGTAGGCGTGGTTTTAAATTTTTAACGCTTGTCGCTTTGGATTTGATTACATTTACAAACTACAAATTTGAAATCATGCCAAGAATAGACACAGAGGTGAAGTTGGACTTTAAAGATGTCTTAGTGCGGCCTAAACGTAGCACCATCCGAAGCAGAGCTGATGTAAATTAATTTGATGCAGTTTTTGTGATTTTAAACTTTTTTCTCACACCTCCTCCCCTTAGGTTGATTTAAGCAGAGAATTTATCTTCCGTAATTCAAAGTGCAAGTACAATGGAGTTCCAATCATTGCCTCTAACATGGACACTACAGGAACATTTGAAATGGCAGCTGCTTTGTCAGAGGTGTGAAATTATAATAATAGATTGAACAATAAAAAGCATTGTGTTGTGTATATAATTATCACATTTAATACATTATTATATATATATATATATATATATATGTATACCAATAATTAATTTTTATTTTTAGTTCAACCTCTTCACTACAGTGCATAAGCACTACACCCTTGATGATTGGAAGAAATTTGCCAAAGATCATCCAGAATGTTTGAAAGTAAGCAATTCTTTCCTTTAGTTATCATCCTCTCTCAGTCTATTGCTGTTAGCTCAGGGACTGGTTCTAAAGACTTTGAGCAATTGGACTCAATTGTGAAGGCGATCCCAGACATAGGATACATATGTCTTGATGTTGCCAATGGTTATTCTGAATATTTTGTCGAGTTTCTACGAAACGTGAGAAAGTCATTCCCGACGCAGACAATTATGGTATGAATCTATCAATAACTATGAAATTATTATAATGTATTTTAATCTTAGGCTGGCAATGTTGTCACTGGTGAAATGGTTGAAGAGCTGATACTGAGTGGAGCAGACATTATTAAAGTTGGTATTGGACCAGGTAAGCAATCATGCCCTCCTTTCACTCCTTTACTTGAAGCTCATTATCCTTAAGGCTCGGTGTGTACTACTAGAAAGAAAGCCGGTGTTGGTTATCCACAGTTGAGTGCAGTCATAGAGTGTGCTGATGCTGCCCATGGACTGGGCGGTCACATCATATCAGTGAGCAGCAGCCGTTTTTATCACTTTTATCTTCTCTATATTTAGGATGGAGGTTGTACCTGTCCTGGTGATGTTGCAAAGGCTTTTTGTCAGTTTTGAGTACCACCTCTTCTCATTCATATGCCATTTATTGTGTCTCTTTCTCTCTCTCTTCCTCCTCTTCTTTATGCTTCCTCCTTAGGTGCTGGTGCTGATTTTGTGATGTTGGGTGGTATGTTTGCCGGTCATGATGAGTCTGGAGGAGAAATAGTTGAGAGGGATGGGTGCAAGTATAAACTCTTTTATGGTATGAGTTCTGCCACAGCTATGCAGAGATATTCAGGAGGAGTTGCTGAATACAGGTACTGGTATATCATAATGTACATTGTACTCCTTTATATAGTGAATATAGTGCTCTATGTAGAGAATTCCCTTTTTTAATTTTTGGTGAAATTGTTTATTGCCCAATTATTTTTATCAAAAATTTTGGTTAGAAGAGCAACTTACAACAGATATCATTGTAATTTTTATTTATTTATTTATTATTTATTTCAGAAATATTAAGTATAATGCATTATAGGGCTTCAGAAGGAAAGACAGTTGAAGTTGAATACAGAGGTGATGTACGTCATACAGTCCGGGACATTTTAGGTGGTCTTAGGTCAACTTGTACGTATGTTGGAGCATCAAAACTGAAGGAATTGAGTAAAAGAACTACTTTCATACGTGTCACCCAACAAACGAACGATATTTATAAATGAAGAAAACAAGAGATACCAACAGTGCAAACTAGAACTTATTATCTGTATCACCATTTTTATTAGATACATTTATTGTCCTGAGTTATACGGACGTGTCCACATACATTAAACTTCACGTATGCGGGAGTGTTCGGATGTGCCACGTGTATATAAATCAAAATGGAGTGCTTGATTGGAATGAAGTTTGATGGTTTTTCTTTAATAGCTCACGACAATTCAGCTGGTAGGAGCGTCCTGGTCATGAAACAGAACCAAGACAAGATATTTCACCTGGGAGACCATCTAGCAATGGTTGTATGTGGTGATACTGGAGATACTGTGTACTTTGGTGAATTTATACAAAAGAATCTTGCATACTACAGAATTAAGAATGGGTAATTAACTTTAAAAATACAATAATAATTATTATTAAATTAATTTTTGTGGAACATTTTCTGCACCACTTAGATTAATTATTAATAATTATAGATTAAATTCTTGTCATTTTTAGATACTCTTTATCGCCAAGTGCTGCTGTTAACTACACTCGTCACGAGATGGCAAAGCGGCTCCGTCAAGCCCCTAACCTAGTGAACCTTATAATGACAGGCTATGACGAGTCAACCAAACAAACCTCACTCTACTTCATGGACTATCTCGGTACACTAGCCGATGTACCGTTTGCAGCCCACGGCTATGGTTCTTACTTTGCCCTCAGCACTCTTGATCGCTATCATCGCTCTAACATGAGCAAAGAGGAGGCAGAGGGGCTCCTCCTCAAGTGTATATTGGAGGTTCAAAAGCGTCTGGTCATCAACCTCCCATCTTTTAGTTTTTATTTTGTTGACGAGAATGGAGTCTCCAGTAAAAGGACTGTCAAGACAGAGCCGGCTAAAGTCGTTGGAGAGAGCACGGGAGAGCAGCAATCAGAGGAAATGGATGTGTTTGTCTGACATTAAACAATGATTAGTGTCCATTTACTGTATGTACACAACTACACGTCCATATAGTTAATATTATTATGATTCACCTGGGTATGTTAATTGTCACTTTTAGTTTACATGTATTTGGAACTTTTAGTTTAAATTATTCACAGTGCTTTAAGCTAAGTAAATTTTCTTTATTAAAAACTTGTGCCTGTATAGTAGAGCCTGTGAACTGAGTACTAATAATAAATAATTAATTTACATAAAATCATTTTGATCAATATTAATGGTTTATAATTAATTAAATTACCCAGTTGCATGGGGCTAAATAAAACAAAAACAAGAAACTAGTCGAAACTATTATATAAAATTTCAGTATCGAATAACACAACGATTATTAGTGTTTAAAAAAGCTGTAGGACGAAAGACAAAGAAGACTGGAAGAAATAAGAGAAGGCTAGTTTAACCACTCAGCCAATTCCCTCAAATCAGATTCATCATCCTTTTCTTTTGACTTGATTGTAGAATTAGCTACAAGAGAAGATAAACACATTACAAGAGGGAACAAGATGACAAGTCATAGTCACATGGACCATTATTCATTGTTATGCTGAGATGGCAGACACATGATCATAATATGATACAATAATAATTGATACAATAATAATACTCAGCATTGCATTAAGCATGTAATTAATACTCACATTTAATACTCAGCACTGCATTAAGCATGTAAGTAATACTCACATTGAAAATAGAAGCAAGAGTCTTGATGTATGTGTGTGTGCATATGCCTTAGGGTACTTACGGACATCAGGTATGGTAGGCAGTTCCAGATTAACTGGAGTATTAGTATCTAACAATTGCTCATCAAGCTCTGCCTGCTCCATCTCTTCCAGCTCTGCTAATAACTCATCCTAAGGGAAACAATTAGAATCAGCATTAATACATGTAGTAGTGTAAATAATAAAAATATTCACATCGTCTAGTTCTTGGTTCATCCCAAAAGGTGTCGAAAGCGCATCGCTGATCTCCTGGGCTATGACGTTCTGCTCTTCAATGTCATCCATCATGTCATGTACATCATCAACATCTCTGAGGGAAAGAAAAAAAAGAACAAATTGAAAATTGCACTAATGTCACACATATTTCTATTGAAGTGTATTTTCAAAATACAAACTATATTTTCATTACAAGTATACTAATGGTATGAAGATTACTCACAGATTGGCATGAGCTGCTTTCAATGCTTTGGCTGCATAGCTCATATTCTTGAGCACTTCCGTATTCGTCTGTGCATTCTCGAGCGACTCTCTCTGGAATTCAATGGTGGACAATGTACCATCAATCTGTTGTAATTGCTTTTCAAGTCTCTTCTTTCTTTTTAGAGCGTTTAGGGCACCTAGAAGTAATGAAATAGTCGGATGTTCATAATATTGGCAACAAGTCAATAGTGAGTATATTCTCCCATACAAGACACGGAACATAAAGATATGTAATGTAATGGTCTGGATTGATGCATGTATGAGAACTGGTGGCATATCTCTCACCTCTCTTGTTCTTGAGTCCATGTTTCTTGATCAGAGCATTCTCTTGGTCAATCTTCTTCTCGAGGAACTCAGACTTCTTGTTTAACATTTCCTCCGTCTCTCTCAGTTTCTGAATGGCCATTTGAGGGGTAGGGGGCTCGCCTTTCTTAGCTCCAAACATTCTTGCCAGTGCCTCCATCACTTCTCTTTCTGTATCTCAATTCTCTATATGCGTTGTAAGCATCACGTGACGTACGAAGCTCCACCCATTTTATGCTGAGCTAGCAAGTACTAGCTCACTTGGAAGAAGTAAAACATTTACATGTAGCTTTTATGGCTGCAATAAAAGGTGAGCTTAATGAAAAACAATCATCAGCATTTATTGTCTTTTTTTAATTTTTAGAAAAAGATCAGTCACAACAGGATAGCTCAGGACCTTCATCTGACATGAGCAGTTTTAGGTCAATATTTGCTGGTGCTAAACACATTGTAGTACTCAGTGGAGCAGGTATCAGTGCTGAAAGTGGTGTGCCCACTTTTCGTGGAGCTGGAGGCTATTGGAGAACATTTCAGGTAACAATATAGAAGAATTACTGCACACTAATGCATTTAATTCATGCAGGCCCAGCAATTAGCAACTCCAGAGGCCTTTGCTGATAACCCATCACTTGTTTGGGAGTTTTATAGCTACAGAAGAGAAGTCATGCATTCAAAGCAGCCAAATCCAGGTCAACATTAATAAGTGAATGAACAGGCATGCCTGACTATTTGTTGTAGCATAGTAAAATTTGGATTACAATTAATGACATGCTACCATATAATTCCAACACCTATACAGCCCACAAAGCTATCGCTGAACTAGAAAAGAGATTGCAACCGCAGGGAAGGAAAGTAACAGTCATCACACAAAATATTGACCGCCTTCATCACAGAGCTGGATCAGAGGATGTCATAGAGCTCCATGGCTCTCTCTTTCACACCAGATGCACAAAATGCGGTGACGTGAGAGAGAACAAGGATAGCCCTATAGTACCGGCATTGAAAGATAAAGGGTAAGATAATAACTAACCTCTATTGAATGCATAAAAGTCGATTTTATAAATTAATGCCGTCTAGTGGTTTTATTTTAGAAAATAAATGTTTACTTTTGCTTTTCCACTCTATTTGTCCACTAGTACTCCCAATCCAGACACTGAAGATGCTCGTATTCCAATTAATGAGCTTCCTCAGTGTGAATTGTGTGGATCTCTATTGCGTCCTCATGTAATTTGGTTTGGAGAACCACTAGATGAAGCTGTTCTTGACAGAACTTACAAAGAGATGGATAAATGTGATCTTTGCCTATTGGTACGATCATGCTCATCACTCTCTCTTACTCTCTCTTTCTTTATTTCTCTCTTTCTCTCATAATAGGTTGGTACATCATCAGTCGTGTATCCTGCTGCAGGATTTGCTCCTTTGCTTGCAACTCGTGGAGTTCCTGTCGCTGAATTCAATCTTGAGAAAACTCCAGTCACAGGAGCATTAAAGTATGCTTCTGGATGGACTGACTTAGTCTAAATTTATGCAAACTTAATTGTGATAGTGCTGTACTTTTAAAATGTGTATCATTTATGTTCTATTTCTTTAGATTTCACTTTAAAGGCAAGTGTGGTGAGACACTACCAACAGCTATTGCTAAACACCAAAGTGAAGATTCACAATAAGTCGTTGTTATTAGTGTTTCCACATTGAAAGCTAACAAACAAAAGTTTTGTACAAACTATTATTATTATTATTATTATTATTATTATTATTATTATTGCATTAGATCAATCTATCAGCTATTATTTGTGTTAGTTGATAAAATTTTGATTGCTATCATCAAAAAGTACATTATCTTTTACTGTGACACATTTTACTATGACATATTACTACGTTTGGCATCAAGAATCAGTACATAGTTGTGGCAAGGAATGCATAAAACCACAATTACTACGTCATATATTATAACAAAATTTGTATCAGTAAAATATTATTAAAAAATTAATAGTGTAATTCCACAATAATAATTAAATTAAAGAAACAAAGTACAAGTCATACGAAATAATAATTGATTAGAAAAATTAATAAGCAACTTATTTGCATATAATAGCATAAAAATTGCACAGTCAATTAACCAAATTTTAACAACATTTCTTTTTCCCAGAGGGCTTACTGACCTGGGAATTCTTTGCAATCGTTTCTGCTGCTAATGGATGAACTTTAAGAGCAATGGTATCAAACATCTCCGTCAGATTTGTGTTTTCAAGGGCACTGACTTCAAATATCATGTCTTCATCGATTTCGTTCAAATGAGCAAAATTTTTCACCCTCTCCTGGCTGACATCACGTGAAGACTCAAGATCTAACTTGTTACCAACTATGGCGGTAATGATGGCCTCTTGTCCAGAGGCAACTCTAGCAGAAACTGCATTCTCGGCCCACGACGTTAAAGAATCAAATGTCTCCTTTTCATCAATGCTATAGACAAGAAGAAGAACTTTAGCTGAGCGGAAGTACGTGTGAGGTATTGTGCTTAGATGCCTTTCCATGCCAGCTGTGTCAAATAATGTGATCTAAGTGAAAAGCAAAGAGAGGAAAAAAGAGATCATGAGGCTACCCATCCCCAACACAATGTTTTGGTATCACTTACTGAAACTTCTGCACCTTTTATGGGCCACTTCTTCTGTTTCTCAGCCTCTTTTCCAACAGGCTTAAACTCACCAGTAGTGAATCTTGTGAAAATCGACGTTTTCCCGACTCCCACATCTCCAACAAGAATGACTTTGTCTGGTGCGTTGTTCAGTAACAAACCATCTGCCAGTGCCATTATAAAAGAGCTGTCTTGTTTCTTTTAACTGCCACTCCTACTAGCCAGAGAGCTTGCTGCATACTTAATACTGATTAGCCACTCCTTTTTATACACCCACGCATCGGGGTGTGTCTACAGACCTGTTTTATTCAGCTCTGAATATCATCTTGTGTGCGTGTGGCTCTCTGCTGCTTAAAGAGCATTTTTTGTATTTTTAATTCAAGAGAAAGAGTAGCATTGTTCATTTGGAAGACAGCAGGTGGATAGTAGCTTTAAAGTGAGTTGAATGTATGTTTCATGCATGTGAGCCAGGGTCCCTTGCAATCTTTAAAAGATAAGACTGACTTATTTTATAGTTCCTTTGCCAATGTTGACCCTATAGTATCCCTATAGTACAAACCACTAATGTGCTCGGGATTAGATAAAGCATTGTAGCTTTGCTGGCCCTAAACTAGCCCACAAATTCAATCTATTGTGTAATCCTCTCATTAAGTCTCAAGGGCACTGATGTGGAATTAGTTAGCAAGTATATGTACTATAAAATTATCACCACCAGCTCATTTGACAGTCTATGGCTCTACCATATTGGATTGCATGTGAGGAGTATCTGCCTATATGTGTGTAGACGGTGTACATGTATGTGTCTGTCTTTTAATGTTTATCTATACCATGACATGAGAATCCTTCCAATTTACATCATACACACCAAGTCACAGAGGAAAGTCTGTGTTGTATTAGATAAAGAGTAAGGATGTGAGTTCATGTGTATGTCACACAGAGGGAGGGTGAAGGGAGGAGCGATGTTAATAAGAGAGATGTTGGTTTGTGATATGAAAACTAAAAATTGTTTTTTGAACTTTGAGGAAGAGCAGTTATTAGCAGAGAGTGCTAGCAGTAGTCTTGTTTGTACACAAAATGGAAGTAATACATTGTAATTGTGTAATTGAATTTGGGTATTGATTAAATGCCATTCTACAAGTGCTGACTCATTTTATGTGTAGTGCCACTTTCCTTGAAAGGGCAACAGTTGCCAAGTCACTTTGGTTTTCACTTGCATCTGATTTAATGTTGTTTGAAAACTGAAAATCCCTAGTGTATCTTTTTGTATATAAAAGTATTGCATCTCTAAGCCCAATGTGTGGTGTTTATTGGAAATGGATTGGTAATGTTTGTCAATTGAATGCTCTCTTCTTTGTATCTTTATTATATATTGAAAGGAACTGCAAAGTTAGTAAACTACCATTTCCCAATGTGAATTGAAATGTTCACAGTTACAACACTCGCATCATGTACACAAACTCACCACATTTCTATTGTCACTTCCCTTTCTCCTCCCTTCATTCATGTAAACTTTTAAAAGTAGCCAACTATATTTCACTAGCTTGGTTAGCTTTTGTATAATTACCCCATGATATTTTTATTGGCCAATAACCTGTGTTCTTGTGTATTGATTGAGTCATGTGCAGCCTATAAAAGGGAGCATCTCTTAACTGCACAGTAATGCAATAATCCTTTTAGACACATACCACACATAGACACACGATGAACTACATAGATATACACAGACACGCCTCCTTAATTGATAGCATGTTATGTCAAATAGTGTCAATTGATGTCATTGTTATTGTTCTTGTTATAACTGAGATCACATTCTTGCCTTGTATCTATTATTAGTAACATCACTAGGCTTCATATGCACCACTGGCTAATGATTCCTCTTAACCCCATATACTCTTACCTGGCATATGATTATATTTTACCAACTTTTTGCATATTCATTCAACTTGTCATAATTTTATACCTTCTGTAAAGTTTAATAGTATCCTATGCAGTAGAAATGACCTTCACTTAGATATTACTCCGACCTCTAATGTAGAAGTTGTGTGATGAGTGGTGTTTGTCTGATTGTTTTTTTAACAATATCAACTACACATTATTGGTTACTTTTATTGTTTCTTGTTGACTTTTTCCCATCTTTTCATCATCATATTCATGTGGGGGCATCCTTTATTATTGTCACTTTGACATTAATAAAACTAACAGTCCCTCAATATCTTGGGAAGCAAAAGCACAATCCCAACTGAAACTACTTTTTAAGACAAAATATTATTTTTGCTACTATTGCTATTTTAGGTAATGAGTTTAAAGCACATAAAGTGTGTTGTGGTCGGCGATGGTGCAGTTGGCAAGACATGTCTCCTAATGACATACACAACTAATTCCTTTCCTGGTGAATACATACCAACTGTCTTTGATAATTATGCTGCTAATGTCATTGTCGATGAGAAACCGATAAGGCTCGGACTATGGGATACTGCAGGTGAGCCTATGAGAGAAAAAGTTCTAAATTTCAAAATAATTTTTTTAATGTTTTTATTTAGGACAAGAGGACTACGAGAGGATTCGGCCACTTTCTTACCCTCAGACTAATGTATTTCTCATCTGCTTCTCTCTTGTTTCATCCTCCTCTTACCAGAATGTTGAGCATAAGGTATAATAATATGTTATCTGCACAGTAGTTGTACTATAGTGTAAATATAATACTGCACTAGTCTGTGGCATTAATAGATAGAGTGATATTATGATTCTTGTATCACGCAGTGGTACCCCGAGGTGAGGCATCACTGTGGTCCTGATGTGCCCATTATTCTTGTTGGGACTAAAGTGGATCTAAGAGAAGACCCTGAGACTCTCTCAGAACTTGCAAAAGATGGAAAGACACCACTTAAATTTGTCGATGGACTAAAGCTACAAAAGAAAATAAACGCCGAGAGATACATTGAGTGTTCAGCAAAAATGCTAACAAATATACATCAGGTCTTTGAGGAGGCAGTGAGGGTGAGCTTGAAGGCAATGGAGCCAAAGAAAGTAAAGAGAAGATGCGTCTTGTTGTAGCATGTCTGCCACTTGTTGTAAATTTTAAAAAATTTAATTTTAAATTGATCTATTAATTATGATTACCATGCTACAGTATTATCACTGTATGTCTTTCTGTAATTGACACAATGCATTTATTATTAACTTTATTATTATTATTATTATTATTATTATTGTGATTACCTCTATTACTAATACTACTATGATCCTCCTTCTCCATTATCACTCTCTCATGCTTTATTAATTATTTTAATTTTTGAAATCAGAATATGTAATGGCATGGAGGAGTGGATCTATGTGAAGACATAGGATTCCAAATGGCAGGCGTGGAGCATTCCATAAATTTTACTGATTTATTGTTACAACTTTAAAACAAATTTAAGAAACATAGTCTTAATCAGATTTTTCTTTTTTTGCTTAAATTTGCTTCTTAAAATTTGGCACAGGATCCAGACTCTACATAGAGCAGGTTTCAGGACAGTCTAATAAAATTAAAATGATAATCAATAATAGATCCACTGGTCAATACTCACTGCAAGTCATTGGTTGCCTTCTTCTTCCTTTTCCTCTTTTTGTTCCCCTTCCTCTCTGAAGAGTTGAAGGATCTTGACAAAATTGTTCCACTTTTTTGGGCCTCTTTATCTTGGCATCAACCACTATATCATCCAAGGTAACAGATTGCTTACTCTGGAGCTGGCCATGAAAACGTTCAAGAATGCCACTGAAATTATTGACAATGGTTGATATAGAGTTAGACTCAGCCAAGAGACATGGGTTGGAACCATTTGTGCAAGCTATGATGACATCGTATTCTAATTTGTCACCTTTGCTTGTTTTGCTCCTTTCTCTGCTCTTTCCTTTCCTGCCTTTTGTGCTTTTAGAGTTTGACTTGGTCCTTTCATCCTTACACTTTAAGCTATTGTCATCCACTGTTGCATTGCAGCTAGCATCTAAACCAGTACTGGATGTTGCAAATAATAGCATGGAGATTATTTTTGCATCCAATTTTTGTAACTCTCCTGTTGTTGCATTGCAGCAATTTTGATTGCAGACATCATAAGTTTGGTTGAAGAAGACTTTGACTCTGTAGGTAGCCCTGACCTGAGGGAGGCATTGAGTTTGAGCTAGAGTGACTACAAAAAGTGTAGCCAAAGCTACTCCAATAAATATAGATTTTGACATCTCTCTCTGAGACTGAAGAGATGGCAGTTTATATGTATGATTTATGGTATTTAGGGTGGTTCAATTGCTGAGCTATCATATGTCATTGTTGTAACAACAGTCAATTATAGCCTGGCCATTCCTAAATAACTGACTTGTGATCTTGTTGCCAAACAACCCACTAAAATGGTTTACATGATGTGGGGGTCTGGAGACTTTGCCCCTCAAGATTTGTATGCAAATTAAAAATTCCTTAGCATAACTGCCCCCAAAACTTTGCAAGGGCACCTTATCATGGCTGCCATAAAGTTATTTTGTTATATTAGTCTTGGCATTAACACCACTATTATTAGTGGTGTTAAAGTACAGCTTTTAAAGATTATCAGGTATCATAAAACCAAAAGTAAAAAATTAAAGGGAATTGGCAGAATATATAGCAATTATTACAAAACACTAGAAATCTGATCATTACATATAGCTAGTTTATATATTATTTCTTTTCTTTTGAGTATTGCACCCAGATTCTACATTGGGCATGTTTCAGGGCAGTCTATAAATGAATTTTAAAAATCATAAAATAATATATTGAGTATTGTATACACTTACTGCAAGTCATTGGTCGCTTTCCTTTTCCCTTTCCCCTTCCTCTCCTAAGAGTTGAAGGCACTTGACAATATCTTTCAACTTTTGGTCTCCTTATCATTGCATCAGCTGTCATATCACCCAAAGTAAGAGACTGCATATTCTCGAGCTGGAAACGTTCAAGAATGCCACGGATATTATTGACAACGGTTGATATAGAGTTAGACTCAGCCAAGAGACATGGGTTGGAACCATTTGTACAAGCTATGACGACATCAAATTCTAATTTGTCACCTTTGCTTGTTTTGCTCCTTTCTCTGCTCTTTCCTTTCCCACTTTTTGATTTGCTTTTAGAGTTTGATTTGCTTTTAGAGTTTGACTTGGTCTTCTCATCCTTGCACTCCACACTATCACCATCCAATGTTGCACTGCAGCTAGCATCTAAACCAGTAGATGCCGAGAATAGCTGAGTAGTAATTCTTCCAGCCAATGCTTCCAGCTCTTCTGTAGTGGCATTGCAGACATCATAAGTTTGGTTGAAGAAGACCCTGACTTTATAGCTAACCCTGACCTGAGGAAGACATTGAGTTTGAGCTAGAGTGACCACAAAAAGTGCAGCCAAAACTACTCCAATGAATATAGATTTTGACATCTTTCTTTCTTAGAGATAATACTATAAAGAATTACTTCTGAGATTGAATTGAATAGATGATTTCTATAGCAGTCATCTTCCTTTATATACAAGAGCAGGCTGATGATGTCACGTACTCACAGTTGTATTGTAGGCACACCTTAAATCCCTAATACCATATTTAGATATATTTTGAGGTTTCCTCCCTCAGTTATAGACAGCCTGATGTCACACTCTTTGTTGCCATGGAAAGGTCTACCACAACGTTAGATCAGAGATCAAATATTAATTCTTATAAGTGTCACCTTTTGAAGTGTGAACAACCTGAACTTCCTAGCTGAAGGTGTGAATAAGATTAGACCACAGCAACTGCTAACAATGCTAATGCTGAAATGATCACAAACTTTGCAAATCTAATAAATTCTTACCAAATGGCCAATATACAAGTGTAGACATCACAGTTCATTCATGCCAACAGTTACTACCAACATTAACCAACACTTGTAACACTTGCATGTGAACTACCAAAATTTTCTCAAGTAAACTATCCTAGGATAGTCAAAATATTTTATGACAATCCCTTAATAATGAGCATAACTTCTTAATTGAGAGATATACTCAGGCAAGACACAGTAATGGGTGGTGGCATGGTGCTCAATTATAGGCATCAATGTTGAGTGACAACAGTTATGGAAGCCTGACAACAAGAGCCTGTGAACTGTCACATCAAATATAATGGTCAAATATGGCCAGGTTGTAATTAATTGTCGGCTACTACAGAGCTAACTGTTGCTACAACAATGACATATGAGAACTCGCCTGATCAGCTAACTCTAAGTCCAGACAGTGTGTGGGTAAGTATTCACATGATGAAAGCACACAAAACCTTATATGCAGAATCGTACAACTTATTGTGGCTCAATCATAGGATTCCCACTTTTAGTCATGTAGCACATCATCAATCAATAGGAGTTTATTCATAAGAAATATAATGTTCATTATTTTATAATGTTTTTTATTTGAGGTTATTCCAGTCTCTGTGATTGAGCCATGCTACCTTCTCAATGATGTCAACACTACGACCGATTCTCAGCAAATAATGATCCTGGCATCCTTTTACTTCACTAGTAGCAGTAGCAGTGTTTTCAGACGGACTTGATTCTTGGGTCAATAAATCAAGCCCTGCCTTTATGTCACATGCCACACCTAAGAGTGCTATGAGAGAGTGTGTGATTGAATGCAGTCCATTGGCAGGTTCTGTCAGTAATGAGAGCAGCTCTGTGTAATCCTTTCTTAACTGCAAGACTCCAACAGAGCTAGGATTCACATAAAAAAGTGCATCATTGTTATAACACAAACCTTAGTTTGTATCTATCATCTTTCATTAATATCGCCCTTAATTCATAAAATAAGATTGATACTGATATCTGAACTACATAACATTGTGTGACTGTATCCACAAGAGACTGAGAGGCTTGGAGTAAAGGATCAATCAACTGTTCCTTACAGACACTCACATAAAATGAGGGAGCATCATCACCTCCTGTATGATATAATTGTAAATAGATTACTGATATATGCCAATCTTTTAATGTTAAAAGGACTTGCCTTTTTGCTGCTTCCAGGCTGAAGGAGGTGGGAAATGAGTCTCAAGAATTTGACGACATTTCTCTCTCCATTGATTAAAAAATGTGCAACAAAGACTTGATAATTGATACTACATAAAAAATTACACAAGTACCGTAGGGCGCCTTTTTTTTGAGGGCTATAAATTTCGCGGATTTCGCAATTTTTTAAAAGATTCACGAAAATTACTTTTGCAAAAATCAAGTTAATACGGTACAAGATGGCAGACGGCATAAATTCGCGAAAATTAAATCCGTGAAATAAAAATCCACGAAATTTATAGCCCTCGAAAAAAAAGCGCCCTACAGTACATGTATCCTATCTTTGTCTCTCTATGTCTAGTATACAGGGTTTCCTTTGGCAGTCAGTGGATTTTTTAAAATTTAAAGTTGCTCCAAAATTGTGCCAAAGTCACTGTACTATAGTAAAGGGACTTTAGCCAAATTTGCTTTGTGGGAAACCCTGCTGGATGTGCTGGTGTACATGTACACTGTCCTCCTTACTTCAATCCATTCACTACAATCACTCAATCCTCCATACTGGATCCCACAATATTGTCCCACCCAATATTGTGACGATGACCGAGGGAGTGATAAATGAGCCACGCCTGCTTGACCACACCCATTAATTAATTCGTCCTCCATCTTGAGCAAGAGAGGTCCATGAATAAAGAAAAGAGAAGTAATGGCTGACAAACGACCAGAAATGATGCTGTCCTTAATTGAGAGAGTCAGCCACCTTCCCAATGACCAGATCAAACTATGAACTGAATACAACAATGGACAAAAGAGGTGGAGTCTATCAGTTTCTATGGCAACTGCTTGTGTCTTCTCTTCATTTATTTTCGATCCATGGTTTTTAAAGGTGAGTGATAGCAGAGAGACTGAGTCATTCATAGGTGAGAGGATTGATTTTGATAATGACTGGATCACATTAGATGATGCTAGTTTGTATGAAGAGACATGCAGCAAATGAATATTTTCTTCAATAGCTAGAGAAAACAAGTAATGCACAATACATACAGTGAGAGTTTCTAATGCTTTACCATTATAAATGATATCATTTGATGCTTCTACATCTAAACGTGCTAATACATACTTGAAACAATAGATAGCAGGAGAATACAGAGCAACTGCATCTATCAACATAGAGAGAGATCAGATGAAAAACAGAGAGTATAGCAGTAGAGTGAAGGTAAATGACAATGTACATCTATGGCATGTTAATCCTTACTAGTGTCATGTGATGATATAAATTGGTGGAGAAGTGCTTTTACTTTATCTCTTAGTTCACTCTCTAATATGTCTTCAACTGAAAGGATTGATAATAGTCTATCACCAACACATTGCCATATCCTTGTATTGATTCTTAAGCATAGGCCACTATCATGAAAGCCATCAACCAATCGAATACATTCCTGCCAAGTTTTCCCACGACAAAATTTGCTCCTACTATCAGTTAATAATGAGGTTACCCCTTTTATTAGTCCAATTATTGATTTTGTTAGAATTTCATTAAAATTATAAAGACACTTTATCCGGTGAAGTGGGAGGAGGCTTGTTGCTAGGATACTATCACAGATAACACGCCCACGAGCTAAAACAAAGGTGTCAAATATGTCCGCCACAGCCAGTCTTGGACGTTGACAGTCATTTCTCGCCACACCCACAGAGACACCATCATTAATGAACTGTGTGATATCAAGTAATGACTGGATTGATACAATATATTCTTCCTCCTCTTTTTCCTCGTCTATCGAAAGAAATATTAATTCCATTATATTCAAAACCAGTTCTTTGCAAAGTAAGAGCTGGTACCGGCTCAAAGGATCACGTGATCCCGTTACAGTAAGTGCTGCATCATGCAATGACTCCAAAGAATGAGTGATGATCTTCCTTTGTTGATCACGTGAGCAGGACCTTTCTCTCAGCATACTCTGTACAGTCAATAAATTTTGAGCCAAAAGATCGCTTCCCTCTGGTTTAGCTGCCATCTTTTTATAATAATAATAATAATTAATAAAATTAGATAATAATTAAATAACAATTAAAATTAGTCTAGAAGGAGTGGCTTGTAGAATATGGCGAGTATCTTAGTGGTTGCAAGCTCTTTTCTTCTAATTCTCCTCTCCACTGGCACTCAGTCTTATGGAACCAGTCCAGAAATGCTCCTAAAAAATAGGTGGGAGCTCTCTCCTATTAATATTGCAGTCATTTTTGCATCCTTTTCTATTGTAGAGGGAAAGTTAAAGAAATGTTCATGCATGCATACGACAGCTACATGACTTATGCTTATCCTCTTGACGAGCTCCAGCCACTAACATGCTCGGGGAAAGACACTTGGGGAAGGTAATTCAAATGATTGTGATATTAGGAGCTCTTGATGATAGATAGCCCTAACCACTATCAAGATTAGCAGAAGATTGCATTTCGTTTATTGTTGTCTAATTTTTAAATGCACCTATTAATATCTGAGTACTGCAGGATATTTTTATGTAAACATTTCATTTCGAAATAGTTTTTCATTGTCTCTCATTGACTCAATGGATACATTGCTTGCAATGGGTAACGTAAGCGAGTTTCAATCTGCTTATAATCGCGTCATATCGAAACCTTCCTTTGATATTGATGTCAATACCTCAGTCTTTGAAGCTAACATCAGAGGTACCAGTGATAAGTAAATAGTGTATTCTTTAAGATTCTACTCCCCCTCTAGTTGTTGGTGGTTTATTGTCAAGCCATCTTTTGTCTCATGTGGGGCAAGTTCCTCTAGCTCCTGGCTGGCCGTGTGAAGGTCCTCTTCTTAGAATGGCCGAGTCTTTAGCTCGACGCCTTCTCCCTGCTTTTGACACGCCCACAGGTCTCCCATACGGGACTGTTAATCTCAGATATGGTGTGCCCCCACAGGAGACCCCAATCACTTGTACGGCCTCTTGTGCTTCATTTTTGGTGGAGTTTGGTACTCTGTCAAGACTGACAGGTAAACCCAGGCCCATATGTTTTGTAGTAATTGATAGTTGGCACCCAAACCACACAGTTGTGAATCCTTTAACTGTACTATTAGTGAGTCTTACAATGAACCATGCCATCTTTTGTTGCATTATTATTCGTGATACCAGGAAATTTGTAAAACTAGATTTACTTGTACTAGTACTCTTTAGTTTACTATAAGGCAGTGTTCATGCCTGCAAAACAGATCATTTCATGTATCCTGAGCACCAATGAGTACACAAAAATCAAGTGCTAAGTTCTTTATCAGCTTGCATCCTTGGTATTCTTATTTATTTCTCTATTCCATGTACATTAGGTGATCCGATATTTGAGACTACTGCCCTAAAAGCTGCTCGTGCAATATGGGCCAAACGCTCTTCGATTGGATTGGTTAGTCTTGTATAGTAACATGATATAAGTAACTAATGATCCTTCCTTAGGTTGGGAATCATATTAATGTATTAACTGGGAAATGGACAGCAACCGAGTTCACTATGGGTAACTATATTGACTCATATCTTGAGTATCTTGTCAAAGGAGGCATACTTTTTGGACACAAAGACTTGCTTGATATGTTTAAAGGTAACTCTCTCGATCCTTTCCTTTTATCCACTCCATGTATTGATGGTTTTGTCTTTCTAGAGATTTTTGTCCCAATAAAGAAGTACACTGATCATAACAGTTGGTATGTTTGGGTTGATAAGGAAAATGGGAAGGTTTCATATCCTTACTATGAGGCACTGGACTCTTACTGGCCTGGCCTACTGGTAATAACACAAAAAACATTAATTTACTATTAATCTTAAAATAACTCTAACTTTTGGACAGCATCGTCCTTCAAGTATTAATTATTGTTCTTATTTTGTTTGTAGTCTTTAGTTGGGAATATTAAAGATGCCAAGAAGAATATTTTCAATCATTTTTTAGTTTGGAGAAGCCTAGGGGGTCTCCCTGAAATGTTGAATATCATAACTGGAGAGACTGTCACTGGAAGAGAGGCTTACAGACTGAGACCTGGTAGGAGGGGAGGGTAGGAGGTAGAACAAGAGAGAATTAATATTAGAATTCCCGAAATAATCATTTGCACGTATTAATGATACTTCATTCTTTAGAGCTAGCAGAGTCATTGTATTACTTGTATCAAGCAACAGGTAATCCTATTTTCATAAGCATGGGCGAGCATATGATTAACAGTATTAATAACATCGCTAGAGTTCATTGTGGATTTGCTACAGTAAGTATTTAAAGGGAAATAAAAGAGACAAAAATAGTGGAGTCGACTTATATTTTATGCTAGTATTTTTTGTTTTTATGAACAGGTAAGGAGTGCTCTTGACCACACACTCTCTGATCGAATGGAGTCTTATTTTCTTGCAGAAACACTCAAATACCTCTACCTTCTCTTTGACCCAAACCACTTCCTCTCGCTGGACCCCACGAAGGCTGTGAACGTAACGGAGACCCTAAGAGTCCCCGGGAGTCAGCATTTTTTGTACAATAAGTATAATAGGATATTAAAAGATGGCTGTAGCGTGGGTAACAGCGGTTACATATTTAGCACAGAGGCACATCCGATCGATGTGGGGGCACTGTACTGCTGTCGTAGGAAATGGAAAGATGGGATGGTGGAGGGAGATGGGTTTTCTAGTCAAGATGGCTGCCAGGCTCAAACGTTTGAATCGAGATTAGAATTATTTACTGCTGGTATCAGTGAATGATAATGAAGATTTTTATAATTTAAGTATTTTATAATTTTCCTCAGCAATAATCATTGTTTATCACATCAAATTTATTTTTGATTAATATTAATTATTATTTATTTAAAAATTCTTAATTTTTTTCAACAGCAGAACTACTAGCTGATTTGTATTGTAGCTTTCTTCTGTATAAATAAATAAAATTAATAATGACAAATATTAATAATATAATAATAATAATAATCGTGGTGTAGCTGTTAAGCTTTTATCATAGATTGGATCTGTTCAACATTGTGCGTATCACTTCTTCCAATAAATGCATATATTCTTAATAAAGTCACAGACCACCACAACTGGGCCGACCACCACCTACACATAATAATAACAATAATAATAATAATTATAATTATTATTATTATTATTACTATTATTAATATTTTACCATAATCTAAAGTCAAACTGTCTCTGATCAATCCAGCGCCTAACACTATTTAAAACAGAGAATGATTGCTTTTCCTTCTCGTAATGGTAGCCTTCAATTGCTCTGGAATATTATTATAAAGATAAAGAAACTGTTAAGTAGTGAATGACAGGGTTTCCCACAAGATTTTGGTAGCGCTTAGCTCATAAAATTTGTTGCTCAGCTCGCTCAGTTGATCCATGGCATTTTGTCAAAAACAGCTCCGAAAGAATTCTCCATTTTTATTATTTTTTTCTGATACATATACATGTTCTTAGGTTATGTTTCAAGTTTGAGCTGATTCCGATCAACATTGGATTTTTTATGAATTTTTGAAGTTGCTCCAAAATCTGGCCAAAGTCCCTGTACTATAGTACAGGGGCTTCGGCCAAATTTCGCCAAAAATGACTAGGAGAGAGTTCTCCATTGTTATAATTTTTTCTGATACATATGCATGCTTTTATGTTGTGTAGCAAATTTGAGCTAATTCCGATTAAGATTGAATTTTTTATGAATTTTTAAAGTTGCTCAAAAATCGGGCCAAAGTCCCTGTACTATAGTACAGGGATTTTGGCCAAATTTTACCAAAAATGACTAGGAGAGAATTTTACATTTTTATAATTTTTTCTGATACATATACATGCTCTTATGTTATGTTTCAAGTTTGAGCTGATTCCGATCAATATTGGATTTTTTATGAATTTTTAAAATGACTTTAAAACCCATGGACTATAGTGCAGTGCTTGTGGAATGCTCCGCTCTAGTGGTCCAGTGGGAAACTCTGGTAAATGGGCAAGGATGGGCTCACATTTTAGCCATTACTTTAAACCTGTTGATCGGTATACCCAGTTCCCGGTTAATGCTACGAATCAGATTAATATTCCTACAAAAAAACAATAACAAAATGTGTATAATAATCAACTATTGTTACCTAAAAACTAGCAACATTGAAGGAGGCAGTAGACGAAGTATTTCCACTACATCGTCCATTCTATACATGAACGTACCGGTGACTGCTTTAACATCGCGTCTTGTTAATAGTGAAGAGTTGAACATCTCCCTGTGGGATTTTAATGTACGCCCAGTGAGCATTAGGGCAAATAATTCATAGTCTAGAAGAAAAATAATTCATGATAATTTCTACTGTAAACACATATATATACAATAATGTAAATGTACATACATACATACATGCATAACTGTCTCCTTTACCTTCTATTCCCAATTCTAGGCAGTAAGACTTTAAATTAGGCACATCATACTGAACAGTTGACTTTATTATCCCACATAGTCTCAGTCTTATACTAAGAGAGAGAAGGATAGAGAGAAGAGAGAGTAAAAGAGCTTACTGTTCTGTGATTGGTGTATAAAGGCCGTGATCTAATAGACAAACTTGAACAGAGTTGCTCTTTGGTGACTTGCATATTAAGACTATAAAAGCAAACGAAATTACTTAACATGGAAAGTTGCATTAAAATGTTACCGTTTCCAGGGTGTGGGTCCCCATGTACAAACCCAGTCACAAACAATTGCTCAGAAAATGCTCTTGTCACTTTATGAGCTACTTCAGCTAAGGACAACCCCCTCTCTCTAAGTGATTGTACATCCGTTACTTGACACCCATCGATCCATTGTGATGTCAATACACGCTACAACAAGCGATAATCTATTGCTCTTATACTCACCCCCACTCTCTCTGGCCTCACCTTTGAAGTATGCTCCCAGCGTATCTTTGGGACACAAACGTACGATAAATGTTTGAGCTCTCTAGCACATCTCTCCTGATTGAGTCCCTCGTGTTCAAAATCCAACTCCTCGTATAAAGTGTCTTTCAGTTCCTGAGAGGAAGAGGGAGAAAAAAGAAGATTAAGAAAGATTTATAAAACTCACATCCAAAACCCACGAGAAACTAAAGCTAGGGTGCATCCAGGCAATAAACTTAAGGAGAATCCTAATCGTCCATATGTCACCATGATAGCGATCCCTGAGGTCAATGTACTGGACTTTGACTGCCACAGACTGACCATCATTAGTCATCGCTTTGTAAACTTGTGCTAGGCTTGCAGCTGCGACTGGCTGGCGATCAAACTGTGCAAAAATGTTATCAACTTTTAAACCAAAGTCCTCCTTGAAGAGCTGGTCCAACTAGGGAGAGCATAAGAAATGAAGATAGAGAAAAGTTTAATAATGAAGGAAAGACTTACCTCTTTATCATCACGAAAAAGAGCCTATGAAAGCAGATAGTAGAGAGATCATACAAAAATATAATGAAAAACCCAATAATAATTATTAATTATTAATGTTATAATTTTGTACTACTTCAAATTGCTAACCTTGTTGAGTAGAATTTTAAGTGTATCAATGTATTCCCTAGGTAGTATCTGATTAAAAGACCCAAGACCTTGCCCTAGTTTTATATAGAGACCTCCATTAGCCATTGCACCATTAACTATGCGATCAGCAGCTCTCTGATGGCAGGCACTCATGGAGAGAGAGTAATCCGGATCAGTCTATTTTAAACACAAACCATGGACATGCAAGTATTGATATTGTCGTACTTCATCCAGATTCCTCATTGTCCACCAGTAGTCACAAGATATTGTAATCCCAATGGCTGCTGATCTGTATAATGAGAGAGAGAGAGAGAGAGAGAGAGAGAGAGAGAGAGAGAGAGAGGGAGAGGGGGTATAAGAGTTCAAACTCAAGTCAGGAGACATCACCTTGCAAAACGAGTTATTCCTTTGAGTTGAACTTTTAGCCATCTCTTCTCCCCATCGTCACGTGACCAGTAATAGGCACTGCCACCAACAGCTGAAGAACCTAAAAGAAAACCCAAAACCCTTGAGTATCTGCCCATGGTCCGGTTTAATACAATGCAGAAAGGGTTAAAATAGATAGGCGTGGCTCAGGTTATCTAGGGGTGTGGTCTAGATCTAAACTTTAAAAATGAAGGCCCAAAGAGGATCAGAATTGAAGAAGTTTTTATTTGCTACTGTTATTCTGAGTGTAGTAATCACATCTTTATATTATATTTTTGCAAGGAAAGGGGAGACATTAGCAGCAGTAAATATATCATCTTACATAATTCAACAATACGTCATTATTCAAGGAAACGTGTCTTCTAATTCCACCTCGAATTTCACCTCTACAACTCCTACACGGTTTCCATTCCCATATCCAGAGAACTGGTTCTGGCTTTGGTCTGAAAGGGACACATATTTATGGACTCGAACCGCATATATTGACACTAGAAAGGACGTGTATGGCAATCCTGTCATCATTGCATTAGTATACAGAGAGATAAGACCCAAACTAGTGGTCAACTCCTTTTCCTGGTACTGTCATGTCTTAAAGACTAACAACGAGGAGGTCTGTACTGGTAAGGCAACTCTTGATCGCTCGGTTGAAGGAATCGGGTATAAGTTTCACAGTTTTTCAACTGCAACATATTTTATATGCCAGTTACCACCTGATACAGATCACAGGGATGTTAGAGCAGTCTCCTTCTCTTCCGATGGCTGTCAATCTACAAGACACTCGCCGTTTGTACTGATTAAACCCCGTGAAAAAGTAAAGAAGAAAGTCCTTGGTATTTGTTTGCATAAAGCATTGTTTGATGTTCAAGAGCCTCAACCAATAGTTGAGTACATTGAAATTCATAGGCTGTTAGGCATCGAGTTATTTACTATGTATGTTCAAAGTATTTCAAAAGAGATTAGAGACATATTGAACAAATATTCCAAAGAAGGGATAGTAGAAATAGTGGAATGGAATATCAAGATATCCACAAAGGTCATACGTGATTTTGGTCAGGTGGGAGTGATACATGATTGTCTATTAAGAAACCAGGACAGGGTCACGTACCTTGGTTTTTCAGACTTTGATGAGGTTTTTGTACCACTTCGTGACGGGACCCTTGACAAGCTATTGAAACGACTCGACCAACCAAACTATGCATCTTTCAGGTTTCTTCACGTATTTATGCATGATACTCCAGCACTGGTAAAGCAAGTCTCGAAATCTAATTGCTCAAGAGTTAAGCTACCACTGTATTTCCAGAGATACAAGAGATCAGATTTCAGTGACAGTTCAGCTTATAATGGTAATACTTTAGGCTCTAAAGCAAAAATATTTGTCAAACCTGAGGGTATAGTTGTCATGGGAAGGCATAGCATGCATCTTAGAAGCACACACAAGTTTGCTCCAGGATACAAAGAGCTGACTGTACCAGGAGATTCTGGTCTCTTTTTTCATTACAGAAAGATGTTACAGCCTGGACTGGAGCATCGGAAATTAGTACAGGATACTGCTTTAGCTAAATATCAAGATGAAATGATTAGAAAATTAAATGAGAGACTTTGTTGAAATTAGGTCTATAATATTATTTATAATAATTATTTTTATTTTTAAGACTAAAAGTTAGTTGTACTATCTTGTCATTAATCTCTCGCATACAATACAATCAATTTTGTTACATTAAAATTTGTCTAAAAACCTCTCACGTGGCCACAATGTTCTTCTTTGGTTTTGGCTTTGGTTTTGGTTTTGGAGGTAGCACTTGAGCCTGCTGTGACTCTGTTGGTGCATCGTGTGTCTTGCTTGTTGAGAGCTGAGTTTTAATCCTCGGTGGAACAGGAGGACGGGTTTTAACTTCAGGTTTATCGCTAGTAGGAGGTGGATCAAAGTAGTCTCTGTCAACAAGCTTTCCTGGAGATTTACTTGTTGAATACTGTTCATTGAGTACCAGATGAGTTGCATCGAAATAGTCCCGATCATCAAATAGCTCGGAATGCCTTATATCATGGACAAGAGTATTATATGGAGCATTCTCTTCGCTATTCTGACCATCAGTGTTATACGACAAATGACTGTATGGGAGAGACTCATGCTCTACTTCTCTTCCTTCGCCACTCTCTTGGAATCGATTAAATCTAGAGTATTCACCAATCGGGGGATGAGCAGTCGGTAGCGGTATTTTTGCATGATTCGTGTCGGTTTCATCAAGTGCCACCTCATCGTAATCATTCTGCTCTTGTGGGAGCTTGATCTCATCATATTCCTGATAAATCCGTCGCTGCATAACAGGAGACACTCTTGGTGATACCTGACGACCGGGCTTGTGCTGGACCTGAGGCTCTGGCTGCTCATAAAGTATCTCAATATCCTCCCTAACAACCTGAGGTAGGGGGGAGGGAGGAGAGTTGATCCTATTGTAAGATGGCTGGTCAGGTGTTACTTTCCTTCTGGGCGGTACAAGTGGAGGCTGGTTTGGATTCTCGGGACTAAGTGTTGAGTAAGTCTCATGAGGAGGTGTGTGATCCACTGGACCTTTGAATGATAGACTGTCATAGCTGGAGGCTTCAGTCTTTTTCAACGGATTAATGACAGGAGAGAGTGTATCATAATCATGGCTCCCGCTAGGATTTATCTTTAATACTCTTGGTGGTTGCCGTGGGGTTACATTCTCTTCCTCTCCCTCTTGGAAGTTGAGTGAGCCGTATAGACCAGGTGGAGCGCCACCTGCTGGCATTTCAACTGGTTTTAGGAAGGCATAGTTTTCGGTTGTTATTGAAGAATACGTATTCTTTTCATCTGATATTCTGGTCAGGTCTTCGTGAGAATTATTACGACTGCTTCTAGGACTATTGTTTCTCGACCTCACATGTCTCACCTACACAACGTGACAATAAAAATACATTCCATTTCAAATACAATAAAGCTACACTCAGTATCTCTTACCTCTCCAAATTCCTCTTCCTCATTATTCACTGTATCACAGTGTGGTATAGGTAACAGCTGTGGTATAGTGTCTGTATACTGATACTCTGATTTACGATAAGATGCCCTTCCTCTTTTTGGTTCAGTAGGAAGAGCTTTTAATGTCTCATAGGCACTCAGTTCTCCATATATAGTCGGTTTGCCATCATTTCTTACATCATCTAAATTTTCGGTTGATCCTGAGAAATTATCAGAGCGAAGGACATCGTAATCTCCAGCTCGTGGGTTTGAGGGCGGATGTGCCTGATGATGCTCAGTAATTGATTTATTTGGTCCATGCAATCCAGGGACGTCAGTAAAGCCAGGTACTTGATCCTTAGTATCAGTTCGACCTCTCACGAGTGTCTCTTGTGTCCATTTTGACTGATAGGGAGGCGGAGGGGTTGGTGGGACACGTTTGCTTTCCTACGATAAAGGAACAAGTATTAAGATAACATCAGGTCGTGCTATGTCTTCATTAAGGAAATTATATTGCTATCAGGCCAAACACTACAGGATTTCCTTTATTACTCCTTTCCTTTCTATACTACACTGACCTGTGGCGGTTTGCTAGCCTTCTTCTTTGCAAGGTTCTTTATTACTGTCTCAAGTGTGTGTGTTATCAGGATGCTTTCTTGTGTACCAAAAACAAAAATTCCTTCTCCAGTAGTACTCCGACTAAAATATGCACGTGATGTGTGAAGATGTACGTGTATGTTGGTATGCAAGAGAGAGAGAGAGAGAGGATGAAAGTGTTAATAAGTGTAAGCTGTAGAATCTATGTAATCTTTACTATATTTGGCAAAAAAACAAACATGTTTTGACTTGGAAATAATATTCAAAAACTATGAACTGGTTCATATTTTTAGTAAAAAAAAAGAGTGCTATTCGCTTTGTTTTCATTACACAACTTTGTATTGATAAAGATAAGGTGACGTATGATAGACACTAACAAAAAAATCATAACATTTTAGCTCACCTTCCAGCATTGATTTGCAACTGATGATTAAGCTTTGCTTTAAACGAGCGAATGTGACCCATTTTCCACCTCACTACCTCAGAGGCCTCGTTTTGACTCCAGACAATAACTTGATCGTCTCGAACCTCGAGAATCCCAGGACCGGAATATCGAAATTGTGGGCAACTCCAGACTTCAATGTAGAACCGTACAATATTCCCTGAAAATAAAAGTAGTTTTGTGAGTAAGGAGAGTACATTGTCATTGCTACACCTAACAAAAACTCCCACTCTAACAAAGGAAAGGTTTTGATAACAGCGTACATAGTCTAACCATTTATAGGATTAGGCTATGCAGTGTATCTATTAATGAACAATGGTGATAGTACATTCACTATTGTGCTCATAACTCAAATATATGAACATTTTTGTTTTTATATCGAGATGGGTGATATGTCATTTATGCGTGCACTATGGCAAAGGTAATGTGTGTTATGAACGCATGCTTTGAATTTGGTTATAATAGTTGTTACAATATCTCTTTTTCATTTTCTATGTAAATAGTCCTGACAAATTGTTTGTTTATATTGTTATATCGATTACTACTAGTGAGGTAAATGCATGTTTGGCTTCATGTTCACTGCCTAATTGACTGACACCACAAATACATGAGTACACACGCATGATATCCCCATTACTATGATTATGTCCTCTTGCCATCCCTTCCCCCTAAATATTTTGTCACTCTTCATTTATTTCATAATTAATGTCTTACTTCCATCGGAGCCTTTGCCAAACAGAACAGCGTTTAAAGCAAAGACCCATTCCTTTGCATCGTGAGATGTCTGGCTCTCAAAAGTGTGCACTGACCCATCATTAGATGTGATGCTAAAACTCTTTGGCTCTCCACCAATGAGCTGCACCGACTGTGAGCTTAGTAGTGAGATTCTGTCCTTTGGAGACTTTTTGTGAGAGTCCCTCTCACTGAGGTAGTACTCTAAGACCCTATCTTGATTGCCCTTTCCAGCTCGGAACACAAACCAGTACTCTTTAGGTGATCTGGCCTGTTGAGCAAAACATGCAGTGGTACTTAGAAAAGAGTAACAAGACGAGAAGTAAAATTATTACTTTTTCTAGGACATTTCTCGCAGACGGATTCAAATGCTTATATCTCAGATGTCCAGCCCTGACTATCTCTACATCTACGGCACTCATAATTTCCTTCTTCCTAGCTGACTGCTCTATCTAGTTCTAATCTACAAAATTTAGAAGGCGTGGCTCGTATAGCTGGGAGCCACACCCACTTCCTTTCTTGCATGCATAATGAGGACCGAATCACCAGGTATCATGTTGAACCAACATGGCTAATAAGCAGAGACTGATGCCAGAGCTATTGTTAATTAGATTCTGTTGTTTGCCCATAAACCATAAAAGCAGCCAAGCTGCAATAAAAAGAAAAAGGAGCCCTTAGCCACACCTTTACTCTGCCTACATGCATTGTTGACCGCGCCTAGTCGTTAAAGCCGTCATTAAAATTTCACTAGAATAAACACGTCTTCTCCTTTAGTTTTTAGCTGTTCTTCTCCTCCGTGCTTTTCCCTTGTATCTGGCTTTAACTACTGGGTCTGCTCCTGTCACTCCTTTTTTTCATTAATTCACGCTCAGAACAATAATGAACGAAGACGTCGTGAGAAGAGGCTATGTTAAAGTGTCTGCTACTAAAGGACTGGTGAGACTATAGAGAGAGAGAGAGAGCGCGTGGTGGGATTTGTGTATACACTGTAATATAGTACCCAGATAGTGTAGATGTATCATCATTCCTTCATTTTGATTCTCTCAGGGTAACTCACTTAGTCTTAGACAAAGAAAGTACTGGGTGGTCCTCAAGGGAGAATCTCGCAGCACTAAAGCCTGTATTGAGATTTACAAATCTGAAGATGATGTCCTCCGCAAAAGCCCGACAAAACTAGTCGCCATCGATCAGATAAGTCGACTTCAGAGTGTCATTGAGCGGAAAGAGCTGACTCTCGTTATGTATGCGGAATCTGTGTCGCTTATCTGTTCATCTCGAGCTGACCATGATGACTGGTTGAAAGACATTGAGTCGGTAAGAGGAGGACAGACCGGGGGAGGAGGAGGAGGAGGAAAAGCTGCAAAAGGAGCAGCATTAAGTAAGAGTAAGAGAGAGAGAGAGAGAGAGAGAGAGAGAGAGAGAATAGAAGAGAGATAAAGAGATGAACTACTGTATGGAGGTAGAAATAAAATAATTGACAGTGTTTTTGTCTATAAGTGTTTTTTATAGCAATGTGTCTGGTATGTACATGTGTGTGCATATACATGTAGTTCTTTTATTATGAGGCTGTTACGTATTGTTGCTGTAGCATGTAGCATTATGCTATTTTTTGATAATGGTATTGTATTTTGATATCTTTTCTGTCCAATAACATTTATTTAGTGTGTAGTGCAGTCTGTGACGTGTCTTATCAGCCATGCGTATTGTTCTGTAATGCATGCATGTATATTGTTAGTGTGGAGGTGTATAGAAGTTATATGCTTAATATGTATTTAGAGATTTAATGTAACTAGTATATTGATCTTGTTATTGATTTAATGCTATTGTTGTTTATAGTTATACTCGCTTTTGTCCACCATTTTGTTTTAAAGTCTTCTTATTTTTTCCTTATCTCTTTATTTGTTTCTGAGTATTCCTTATGTCACTTCCCTTAAACTCCCCTTCTGTCTTCCTTTCTCCCTTTCAGCTTCCTTTCCACTCCTCTCCATGCTCTTCTGATGATGTCAGTTGTAGTAGGAATTTTCCTGCTTGATCCATTAATTTATTGTTTGTATTAAATGCATCACTGAATTCTCAAGCTAATTCAATTGTCATCCTTATGCAGTCCGGGATAAGATCAGTTTGCACATTAAATAGTTTTCCTTCTAGTAAAACTAGTAAATATTGGCTGAGCTACTTCAGAGTTCTAAGTTTATCATAGCTTACTTTTGTCTACGGGGAGTAAAGGGGATAACTTTATCACTTTTTGTCTTTGTGGTAGATTAACCTTTTTCTATGATAGGTACACCCGATGAAGGCCCGTTTCGTGTGAGGCTTCGTCCATCTCCGTCCCTTCTCTTCCATGGCTCCTGTATTCTGGAGATTCAGAAGGACTTTGATAGGAATATATTCAACATTGCTCTGTTTGCTGATGAGATACCTCCGAGACTCATAGTCAAGTGGCAGATTGATCACATCAGGCAGTATGGATCCAATGAGATTGCGTTCAAATTTCAGAGTGGGAGGTAGGGAAAGAATGAGAGAAAAAGCTATTATAATTATAAACCTTCTCTCTCTCTCTCTCTCTCTTTTTACTAGTAAATCTCCAACTAACGTTGACTGGTTTATATTAGACACTGACTCAGGTGATGCCCCAAGGATACACAGAGCAGTTGATTATTGGGCGCACCATATAGTTGAACAGGCCAACAACATGATACCCTCCAGGAGCTCATCAGTCGGAACCAATGTGAGTTACTTACTACATGCATCACGTGTAGCCCAATTTTTAATGGTAGTCTGCTCAAATTTTTCTACATTTCGGAAAGTAAATATTTATACATTACTATCTTTATCTTATGAAATTGATAAAAGATAAAAACTTGCTGCTTTACCATATTGAATGTTTATGTTACTATAAGTACTGCTATCCAAATGATAATAGCTAATGCCCTAAGATTGAGACTTGCAATAGCCCTACCTACCTAATTGATGAACCATCTCACTATTTCATGTTTCTGTAGATACGTCCGACGAGTTCTTTGCCTATTTCTCCTCCAGTTCCTCCTCTTCCTACTGCTATGCGTACCAGCTCCATACCTAATGGCAACGGGAGTGGAGTGTATCAACCGCTCATTGCATCAACTGTACAACCAACTCCTATTTACGATGGGATTGTAAGTTGAAACTAGTCAGTACGATGTGCTCTTGACTGTTATTTTGAACGACGATATTGATAAGTGTGAAAAATTAGTGTCTGCCCAATTTAGGGTCTATACCCACCAGATTAAGTATTGATTAGTGTAATGCAGTGGGTCAACAATAAGTAGTGTGTGTGTGTGTGTGTGTGTGTGTCACTGATAAGGCTCTGTCTGTGTTGTAGATCCAGTCTGTGGCTAATTTGTCTCAGATGGATAAATGTTTTCATACCAAATAAGATTAAAGAGTGTGGACACTCCTTTTTTAACTATTCCCCCCTCTCTCTCTTTCCTCGCCCACTCTCTTTATAGGATAATAGACAGGTACCGTCATCACCGCCTCCAGCCATCCCTCCTCTTCCCTCCTCTCTTGGTGGCAGTAACAGCGTCTACCAACCTCTCACTCACACTCCTAACGGGATGAGTCCACGCCCCTCACAGGAATATGCAGGTCTCAGCGAACTAACAAGAGAACCCTCTCAGCGTCACCTCCCTCCCCCCGTCCCCCCCTCTACCTCGGTTCCTTCTCAGAGTGCCGACTACATGGGGTTGAATTTTTCGTCGAGGGATCAGCCAGCAGAGTCGACCTACATGGACCTCAATGTGCCAAAGACATGAAGTGGAGAGAGAGATGAGAGAGAGAGAGGAGAGATTATGTGAGTGTATCTGTAATGTAGTTCTTCATTTCATTTTTCGCACATATTTTGTATTGATATTTTACTACCTTTAGAATGTAGGGGCCTGTGTTGCAATAACCACCTTCATAATTTATTATTATTATTATTGTCGTAATTATTGTTATTATTATTATTATTATTATTTCATGTTTTGGTTTCTGTTATGAAAAGAGAGAGAGCTGTAATTATTATTAGTTGTTTTACGTCATCCGTTGTATTAAAAATGTATGTATTGGTAATAGCGCATAATCTTGAATTTGATTTGAGATTACTTGAACATTATTTATGTTGTGGAGCCTGTTTCTGTTTTTTTTTGTTGATGATTTTTAATTATTATTCAATCAAAAAATTGTTACAAAAAAAATTAAAGGACAAAATAATTACTGTATTATAAAATACATTGGTTTCGGACAGCAAGTGTTGATATAAATTATGATTAGTTATAATAAGTGCCAGTGTAAATATTAATATTTATAAATAGTTAATGTTGGAGCTGGAATGTGGACATGTAAAATCACAATAAATTATTTAAGTATATATGGTGTAGCAGCGTTAAAATAAATTAATAATAATAATAATGATAATAATAATAATTTAAAAAAAAAAATAATAATAATAATAATAACAATAATAATAATAGGTTTTTAATGTTAATCGTAAAGTCTGCATTATATAAATAATATATTACATGTATACAAATACAATATGAATGTTAATAATAATTAAAAACACAATATTATGCAATGCATGGAGTTCATTCTTACATTATTATTCAAGACGAATTTGTTTTCTTAAGTCTAGGTGGAACTGGGGGAGGGCGTGGCTCTGTCGAATCTCCACCCACTTCCTGTTTCTCACCTCCAAGCCTCATATGAGTGATGTTGGAGTAAATAGGTGAGAATGGGGAATCGTCTTCATCCTCTTCCTGTCCCTCTTCCTGGACGTGTTGTATAGTGGTGTATTTGCAAGGTGTCTGTGGTTCCAGTGTCTCTATGTGTGCCTCGTTTGGGTGCGGTTGTTGTATGAAAAGTGGCTCAGTGTTTGAACGAACAAAAGTAGTGGTGCTTGATCCTCCATGGTGAAGTTTCTCATAGTCCCCTCCTCTTTCTGTCGCTAGAGACGAAGCCGAAGAGACCGGGTGAATGGATGAAAGTGGAAGGTTGTGAGATTGTGTGGTTTGGACGTGGTGAGTGCTTAGTCCCATGTTTTTTGAGCTTAGCGTCCCGTATGGTTCCAAAGATAGATTGGGTCTCAGCGTATGCTCAATGTGGCTGTATTGAGGGTGAGTGTTGTCAGCACTGCTCGTTTGCTGGCTGCTTGTAGGGCGATACATGAAGCCGGGGGGTAGAGTCTGATTGACATTGACTTGTTGTTGAGGTCTTTGTATGTATGATAGAGTCTCAGTTGGCTATATAATAAAAAGAGAAAATATAAATATACTATACAGAAACTTGGCCAAAATTTCACCAAAAATGACAAGGAAAGAATTTTTCATTTTTATAATTTTTTCTGATACATGTACATGTTTTTATGTTGTGTAGAAAGTTTGAGCTCATTCCGGTCAAGTTTGGATTTTTTACGAATTTTTAAAGTTGCTCAAAAATCGGGCCAAAGTCCCTGTACTATAGTACAGGGATTTTGACCAAATTTCGCCAAAAATGACAAGGAGAGAATTTTCCATTTTTATAATTTTTTCTGATACATGTACATGTTTTTATGTTGTGTAGAAAGTTTGAACTCATTCTGATCAAGTTTGGATTTTTTACGAATTTTTAAAGTTGCTCAAAAATCGGGCCAAAGTCCCTGTACTATAGTACAGAGCTTTTGGCAAAATTTTGCCAAAAATGACTAGGAGAGAATTGTCTATTTTCTGATATCTTAATGAATATAATTATATGAGATATGATAGGTAATTATTCGATGCATACACTTACTGCTGATGCTCTTCGACGAATGTCCTTCTTCTGAGCAATTTGATGAACACGAGCATGCATGTGTCTGCTATGAGGACAATAGAAAAAGAACTTTCCTTCACCAGTTATGCAGTTCCTATGAATGAAATCAAAAAGTTAAAATTAAAATCACTAAATCATGCATTATAAAGTACTAAATGTTTGCAATTTTGCTCTTTGTACCTTCCAGTTTCAAATGTAAAGCAAACATTATTGACTCCGTATCTTCTTATTGATGAGATTGACCAGGACATCAATGGTTGACCTGAGAAAGAGACAAAGAGGATCATAATAATAATAAATATTATAGTTGATATACTATAATTTATTACAATTTTCCAAACATACAAAATACAAATTATCAGTCCATCAATTGTGGGTACTATTATATAATAACTGTCTTCATCTTTTATCAACTGTTCAGTGAGCAATGTTAGTTTAAGTTAAAGCGCTTCTACTCTCTCTCTCCACTTTAGTGATGACACCTGAATGTACTCTGACAGCTTTTCTAACAACTGACAATGTACACAGGCCTAGGACAACACTCCAAAATGATCAAAAACACAAAAGGCAATTGAATTTTATTTTCTTAGAAAGCCAGGGAGGGTAATATGGAGGAGTAACGGGGGAGAGGTATTACAATGAAGCACAGGTGTACGATGCAACGCATCCTGTATAACAATATTTGATAGCTTGGAACTGTAAATTAAGGTTTATCATAAACACTTAGCACTAATAGCAATCATCTGAAAGACTTGTTCATTACAATTTGGCAATGAATACTGGGTGGGAGTAAACAATCATCTTGTATCATGGCTTCTATTTCCCATTGGGTATATATCAATAGCATATGCTATGAGCTGACTTGGGTGTGCTCTACACTTATAATTGCTTTGAAAAGCCTTTGAGTATTATGAATGGTGAGGCCCACATCCTCTCTCACACACACACATACTCTCTTGCAGCATTCCATTATTTAATTGTCTCTTATCTTCTACACACAACCATCTGTCATGAGACATACATACACAAACTCCATAGCAACGATCACACCATTAGCAGATGGCCTGTGATTCTCCCCTCTCTGTATGTACATGTATGTACGTGTACTTGTATTAGCTAGTGGTTATGTCTATACTCATGACACACACACTTGAGCTGTCATGGTCTTAATCCATCTCACCACAGACAAACATAAAGAGTTGGACTATTGGTTATAATCAGTGGTTAGACACGCAGGGCCAATCAGGATATGGCTCCATTGATAGTAACTGGTAGAGTGGGTCTGATTCTCAAGATGAGGTTTATGATAAGAGGTTGTTATACTTGTGGGTATCAATGCAAATTTATGCTTAAGGAATTGATGTAACTTGATTCTTATCACTGCTAGTATGCACCAATCATGAGTACAGACTAAAGGGTTGGTATATATTTCTTGTCATGTTGAGATCATTTTACCAGACTAAAGAGGCTGCGATAGATGTACTTCCTTATTTTGGAGCTATTGATGTGACACAACTATCACAATTACTATACCTGCTCAGGATGTGCCTAGATCTTCAAAGGAATTCCTCTCTCGATAGAAAGAGCAAAAGAGAACACTCAAGCATGCAATTACTAACAGTTAAAAATCAAATCATTTTCTCGTTTACAGTTAGTATGATGTTAGAGTACAGAGGACCAGGTGCATGTGTGCGTGTGTGTGTGTGTGTGTGTATATTTATGATCATTGTGAGATATTTTAGGGTAAACAGGACTTGAAACATCCTTTGATGGTACAAAAATGGTTATGTTTCGATGTCTACATCGTTCAAGTGTACATGTACAGCATATATGTAACTCTATTCTACCATATACTCTTTGTACTATAGATTATCATACACATTGAGACGGAGTGCTAATTGGACGCGTATATACAGCACATTTACATATGTTGGCTTCGGAGGTGAGTGGGGAGTTGTGCTGTGGAGTGATAGACCATTGCATGAGTGAAGCACATGCAATTTAGCTAGACAGTTAACTCAAAACTGTTGATAAGATAATAATCTAGTAACAGAGTCAAGGCAGTATGCCACACACATGCCTTATATTATTTTAATTGAATTTTCTTATGATAATCTTCCCAAGGCAAGGCATAGTATGTAGTGGAGTGTATTGAGGTCCTTTTAAGATTAAAATATCCATTTTGTGCAGGTAGTATATAATAGTAGAAAGGAAGAGGAAAGTAAAGCTGTTAAACAATTGTGGCAAATGATCTAAGAATCGTTAATAATTGATTTATTTAAGGAGATAATGATATTTCCTGGACGATCATGACATTTGATGCCCTCTAGCAATTATATTACTCGTCCCTCTCTTTCTCTCTCTCTCTCTCTCTCTCTCTTACCTGTTTGTATGGAGTGAAGTGTGATCCCATCATCACTAACAATGACATCACAGGCTCCAGACACCTTCAGCTTGTCATTCTCTTTAACGTGAACTCGGAATTTCGATCCTAAGAAATAATCGTAATTATGATAATGCAATTTCAAAAGGATAAGAAGGAGGAGGGTAGAGGAAGTTTGAATAAGTTACAGTGTCAACTATTCATTAGCAATTTTATATACTGCAGGACTATGCAATAATAGAATATAATATTATTACTAATCAATTCTCATTTTAGCCATGATTTCACTTTATGCATTTCACATCATATCACGCAAGCAATTATCAGCAAAGAAGCAATAAAATGAATGGAAATAGTTTATATTATGAGCCGTATAATGGTACTACACAATATTGGTGTGTCTATGAGAATTGATGATATCACGTTACACTGGGAATGCGTGCCATATTCTCTCTCTTTATCAGACAACACGTTCAATAGGAGACTGAATAAATCCTTGCAGTATTCTCATAACAAAGTCTGTAGTAAACACTCTACATCATAGACTATGCAGGCAATACCATAACTCCCTCATAATCACTGTATGTGTAGTAGTGATATATATGCACATCATGCGTCATACTTAGCTTATTCTCTTTATGTCTTAATCAATAGTCAATACAAACTGTATTAACACATATACACACAAAGCACACCTGCACTATAAAATAGAGCACTGATCTATACTATGTATAACATTATGTATGTTCGTAATGTTGATATAGCTATGCAGTATAATGTTAATTTGATTACACTAATTGCGTTAAGGCTAGTCTGTGACTAACAAACTCAATCAATGCAAGCGGAATACAAGGGAACAAGGTCATGCATGACCGGAGGAGAGGCAAAAGGGAGGCATCGACTCTCTCTATTGCCAACAAACGTATCAAAACTGCCTGTTATGTCATGTGAAGTGTCTCTCATTGTTGTACTACATTCAGAGTATAGCCTATCACAATACCAGTAATAATAATGCTTGTATTATATCTGCTAAGCTTTTTTTGGCAGGTGGTAAATGACATAGCAATTCTTTGTCTTAGTGTTTATACTTTTGACCCCATTAGTTTATATGTGGCTATACACACCTCCACAAGTTTGCATGTGGTGCTCTGTCTGACAGTTTGGATTCTAGCCTCACTCCCTGTCTGGTATAAATGGAATATTTTAATAAGAGAAGGAATTAAGAGGGAGAGGACCATTTGTAGCTTTGTGTGATTAAATGTAATTCCTCTCTTGCTTAATAGGGTAATGTGTGTGGTAACAGAGAGTAAAGGGAGCTTCACTGTAATATCAGGAAGCACCCTCCAAACGTACGAACCTTACAATGACTTGTCATACACACACACACACACCTGTCACTGTAACACCTCTACTTTAAGAACATGCAACCTTTTGTATACAGACTCAGACACAACAGACAACTAAGGAGTAATATAACCTTTAAACTTCACTAAACACATACTCTCCTTTGATGTCGTAAGTAAAAGAAATGCAATACTAAATGAGTTTCACACCCACATGAAGCTAGAAGTAAAAATTTAGATAATTAAGGAAATCAATTTTTAAAATCAAACTCACATCAAAGCATATCAAAATGTATCAAAACTATTATGCAAATTTAAAGCTGTCAATACATTACGGGCACTGAGCCCAGCTAAATATACAATGTATAGAGACCATATTAGTACACTTAACACTTTGACTGACATGAGTTAAAATTCCATTAACAGACAGTCTATAAGGCATAGAGACATGTTTACTGAGAGGGAGAGCAAGAGATAAGCCGATAATTCGCAAGCACAAAACAGCTCCATTGATTAATGCAATAATAGTAAAGCAGTACAAAATACTCATCCCATGCAATACAATCTATCATAAGTACATAGGAGAATAATAGAAATCTCTAGTTGTATCTCTAAATATGCGTATATGACTTACTTGAGTTACCATCTTCATCATCAAGATTGTTTCCATTGTCAAAGCTTGCATTGGATCCACTGTACATGCTGGAGCTGTCGCTAGATGGGGGAGAAGGGTACGGGTGGTTGCTCTCCAGTGAGTTTTGTTTCTGAAGGTAAGGAGCATGCGTAGGATATGGAACCGTCACAACACTCTCTGGAGGCGTCGGATACAAACGCTGCAAATGTCCTAGCATGCCTTGCGTGTTCTGGGGAGATTGGCTGAGGGGAGGTGGTAGAGCGGGAGGGATATCAGTCCCATAGAGTGCGACTGGGTTGCCTGTCAAAGCCTGAGAGACAAGAATAGGCTGGGGCGGTACTGAAAGAGATCGAGAGGCAGCTGGAGATTGGGAGTGAAGTTTTGGTGGGCTACCTGAAAGAGGAGTATTCGTACCAGATAATGGTTGGTGCATGAGTCTTTGTAATGATAAGGCTTTACCATTGCTATCTTCTCCTTGATAAATGCACATTTTCCGTATTGAGTCGACCCACTCATCAGCTTCCGATTGAGAATTTGCCATCAGGCGATGAGCAATCCCCGGGCAAAGGAGCTCAAAGCATTGCCTCTTGTCTTGAGCTTTGCGTATGTCAACGACCTGAAGGACATTGATGAATCCTTTAGGAGGGTCTCCTTTCAATGCAGTCTTCTCGTCCTTGTAATGCTCTAAAAAGCAGTAGCCTTGGCCATAGTCGTGTCTAAGTACAAACCACCTCTTACGCTCCTGAGAAAAAGAGAACATTATTTATAAGTTATACAGAATGAGAAATGAGAGCATGAGACAGGAATGAGAGTGTCCTTATCATAGCTAGTAGTAAACAATGTAAATCAAAGTGACCATATGTCATCTCAAGCTCAGGATGAATCACATGATCCATTTCTGTGTATTCTGTGTACAAATATATCAACTACAAGTCATAATGTTGAACATAGAATTCATGTAAAGTGCAATACAAATCTCAAATATCAACACACAGATTTCTTTGAAAAAGGCCTCACAAGTTACATTGTAATAGTTCATTTCCTTTAGTGAGTACTATTTGCTAAAGGACAGATTACTTATTATAAAAGTACACGGATACTTCCAAAGGGAAATTACTAAACATACACACATTATGATAAGGATAATTAGCTTTCAGCCTTGCTGCCCTCACACAAATATCTCCTTTTAAGGAAAGTGAAAGCATAAAGACTAGGATGATTATTGAACAACACTCTTAGATGCCAGATAACAAACGGCAGAGTACATGAGTCCCAATTTGAATATTATAAAACTGAATAATAACAATCAATGAGGTAATGTGAAAAGCATGCATCCTGCTAATTGAATACTAGGAATTGAGGATTGTACAATGATTTGGGGAATAATGTACAACTTTACAAGTCACTCGGGTGTGGTTGTTTGCATGTGCCTTTGGTAAATTGCATGCTAGAGCAACCACAAGTTATGCACACAGAACATTAGATTGTAACAAAACAGCACAGAAATATGCTCAGGGATAAAACTGATAAACAATATTTTGCTTCATCTTACATAACCAATACTCATCACAATGATCATTGCACTTTTATGCATGATTCTTACCAATATACTTGCTTTCTTGTCAATTAGGTAGCCTCTCTTTATGATTGTGGAACAGTCAAAAGTAGCCATTGGTGTAGCAGGTTGAAGATACTGTATGGTCAGTCATATACAGGACACAGGAGGTAGTAACTAGCACTAGACTGGAGAGAAAGAGAACAGAGAGGGGAAGAAGAAAGAGAAGTCTTTTAAGGCGAGTTTTGTAAGGCGAGTTTTGTATATTTCTTGACCCAAGACAGCCTCTCAGTATTATTATAGTGTCTACAATATCAAAGGAAGCATTGGCTGACTGGGAGAATGAGCAGCCTGGTTCTCTTGGCTCCAAAACACAAAAGCTATTACTATGGCAGTCTCCAAATATGCTGTGACTAATACAGTATCAATTTAAGTATGGCAAGAGAGAGGACAAAACACTCACCGAATGCTGACAGAAGCCGTTGAAGTTAATTCAGAGTAGATATAGTATGTAGTGAGAATGCTTGGTTGCTATGTTTATATTGGGAGGCTCAGTGTTGATAGCCGGGAATGATTTATGAGAAAGAGACCTTTACAAACTTTTTCTAGCAGAAAAAATAGATACTAATGTAGTTAGAGATTGTATGGAGAAACTCCTCTCTGTTCCTTTTCTTTTATACTCCACTGGTGCTGCAAGATGCACTCACAAAACTGTATCCCCATGTACACCCACGCATCCAGGGCGTGGCTATGACGTGGGAGTGGCTCAGACTGCACTGCGCGATGACCTCTGCATCTCGCGGCATGAGTGCTGTTTCTCTTCTAACAGACTCGACCTCTTATTCTCGTACTTCTTCCTACAGCTCAAACACCACCAACAACTATGAGGACGAGATAAATGCCAAAAGATTCTTCCTAGGATCAGCCAGTGAAAGAGAAATACCGACAGGGAAGACCTCTCTCCTCGGCGCCATCTTTGTGGTGACCAACGCAGCAATGGGAGCTGGTATGCTCTCTTTCCCCTACGCCTTCTATTTAGCTGGAAGCTGGTACTGGGGGATCAGTGTGGAAGTGGTAAGGGCTTTACATGAGCATGGATATGAATAGTAGAGTATGGGCAAGGCATACTGTAGTTGTGGGTTAAAATAATGACTAGTTAGTCTAATTATTATTATTATTGTCAATTGTATTTTTTGGAAGACACTCTATAATGTTGTGTATCCACAATATCCAGATTTTATTAGTTTCTTTTCTTCTCCCCAGGGTATGATTCCAATTATTATCATTAGCTTATTGATACTGGCCTACTGCTCCGAACTTAAGCAAGCCGTCACGTGTGAGGAAACTCTCGGTCTTATGCTCGGACCAGCTGCCAAAATAATTACCGAGATACTCGTCCTCCTTTATTGCTTCGGGACTTGCGTTGCATTTCTTACTATAATGGGTGATCAGATAGAGGATGGTAAGGACAAGAGGATGAAAGGGGGTTTGTTTGTTGATTAAGAAAGGGAGAGATTATCAGCTATTCTTTCCCTTTCATTCATGATAGGCTATCAGTCATGATAGGGAAATTAGAAACACCAAATGTTTATGGATTAATTTAATTGGACATATAATGAGTTTTTGATTATGTCATAATTTATTTTGTACTGTTTTTACGTCAATTGTATTGGGCTGTGGGAGTGTTATTGTCCCTTTGTGTCTTACATAAGGAAAGGGATTTACACAGTTCTTTGGGAGCCAGTTATTTAACAGTTATTATTACTTGAGTAATAATAGAATTGTATACACAACCTTTACTTACCTCCCTCGACTTCCACAATCTTCCCTAAAACTTAGTCATTCTGTCTGTCTGTCTTGGTTTCCTACTTGCCTTTACTTCTTGGCTAGTTTTTATAAAGTGATATATTTCCACAGAATTTTCTGTGAGACAATAACAATGCAATAATAATATAGCAAGGCTGCAAAAGTCGTGGCAGCCATTTTGTTTGGGGGTGAATCCTACTTAGTAACGCTACCACGTTACTAATATATGCATCTCACACAGTTGCACCAATTATCAGCATTTCCCCTTTGTTCCTTGTCTCATTGCATTCTATTCTATGTACTTTTGCGTACACAATTTTAAATCGTGCTTGTTTATTCAAGTTTTTTTCTTTTGTTAGTGACATTTGCTTTCAAGTATCACAACGAAAGTGTTTCGGAGCAATGGTGGGCCAACAGAAAGTTTCTAGTCCCTATTGTTGCTATATTGTTAATATACCCCTGGCTGTACCTGAGAAAGATAGGTATACTAAGTTATACTAGGTAATATACTGAATGGCAAATAGTATACTGAATAGTAGTGCATAATATACTGAGTGTTATACTAATTATTTTTTTGTTATTTCAGTTTTCTAGGTATCTTATCTTGTGTTTATATTTGTCTCGTAATTGTTGTCAATTATTTTGTAACCGAAGGGAATATCAAATGTAATGCACCCAAATATTATCACTCGACGTAAGACAACCAATAATCTTATCACTCATCCTCTCTCTTTTTCATTTTTTTAGAGATTGTTCAAGATCCTGGACCTCGTTCTTTAACTCCATTCCTTTTGTATGCTTTGCTTTCCAGTGCCACGTCTCCTCTATACCAGTTTATTCTGGCCTTAAGAAAAGGAGTGTGGGCCGTTTCTTCCTTGTCATAGTAGCAGCTGTTTTCTTATGCACTCTGCTATACTCTCTTACTGGCTCATTTGGTCTGATCACTTTCTCCAAAAAAGGATTGTGTATTAATTCTGACATCATGAGGAATTATTGTCCAACTGATATACCAGTCAGTGTTGCTAGAGGGATGCTCTTTCTCTGCTTGATTACCTCCTACCCTATACTAGCTTTCTGTGGCAGGTACAGTCATATAAATATGTTAATTGGATTTTTTACAAATTTTAAAGTTGCTTAAAGGTCAGGCCAAAGACCCTGTACTATAGTAGCCAAATTTTGCCAAAATTGAAAAGGAGACAATTGTCTGTTTTCATAATTTTTTTCTGATGCATATACATGTACTTATGCTGTGTAGAAAGTTTAAACCAGTTCCGATCAAATTTAGATTTTTTATGAATTTTTAAAATTGCTCAAAAATTGGGCCACAGGGATTTTGGCCAAATTTCTCCAAAAATTAAAAGTAGAGAATTTTTCATTTTTATAATTTTTTCTGGCGCATATACATGTACTTATGCTGTGTAGAAAGTTTGAAAGAGTTCCGATCAAATTTAGATTTTTTACGAATTTTTTTAATTGCTCAAAAATTGGGCCAAAGTCCCTGTACTATAGTACAGGGATTTTGACCAAATTTCTCCAAAAATTAAAAGTAGAGAATTTTTCATTTTTATAATTTTTTTGACGCATATACATGTACTTATACTGTGTAGAAAGTTTGAACCAGTTCCAATCAAATTTAGATTTTTTACGAATTTTTAAAATTGCTCAAAAATTGGGCCAAAGTCCTGGATTATGTGACAATGGAACAAATGGGTTTTGCTTGTCACAGATTTCGTGACAATGGAACAAATGGGTTTTTGCTTGTCACGGATTTCGTGACAATGGAACTAATGGGTTTTTGCTTGTCACGGATTTTGTGACAATGGAACTAATGGGTTTTTGCTTGTCATGGATTTTGTGACAATGGAACTATTGGGTTTTTTGCTTGTCACGTATTTTTTTCTGATGCATATACATGTTATGCTATTTTGAAAATTTTATTCTCATAAAATTTGTATTTTTTGAATTCATTGCTTTTTATTATAATTATTTTTTTATTTACAGAGTGTCGCTGGATGGGTTTGTCTACAGACTAGCGTCGTGCTGTTGTAAAAGAGATCACTACAGCTGGGCTCCTTCATGGCTTACCGCCCAATCCATAGTAACATTTGCTAACATTCAAGTGTGGATGTTTGGTTCGCTTGTTCTGGCTGTGTTTGTCAAAGAGATTAAGGAGGTTGTGAGTCCCCTTGGATCACTTGCAGCTGTTTTCATATTCGTATTACCTGGTGAGTTACTAGCTTATCAGTTACAATGTGTGTGTGTGTGTATATAAATACTCTTATTTTAATTATACAATCATTGTGTTTGTACAAATGCTTTGTAATTAGATTTCTTTTCTTTTAGGGCTGTGTCTCCTTAAATTGTCCTTGCAGTTTCATTTTAACGGAAAGATTAAAAATGTTATAGGGATGATATTCTCTTTGTCCATCATCTCATTTGGTGTATTCATTTTTGCCGATGATCTTATATATAATATAATGGAAGAAGCTGGTGTATTTTAATATTTGTACCATTGATAATTTTTTAAAACTGCCTGTACAGTAATACATTAATTTTATATTAAAATAATTTATTGTTAAAATTAATATTGATTAATAAGTGGGTGTGACCGGTATTAATTATTGTAAATGAAGTAACACCGAGAGTAACACCCTTCTTCCTTCTCTCATCTTCTCCCCACTTTTCTCCATTATTATGGGAACGAAGCAAAGCACGTCCTCTTCTTCTGAGGTTGTACTCACCAGACACAACAGTGATATCCCTCCTCGCCATTCTCCACGGGAGAGGCACCCCGAGACACTATCAAGGGACGACTTCTCTCGCCATCTCCTATCACAGAGGGACCTCTCTTCTACCTCTGCCTCATCTTTGAGCAGAACCTCGAGCAGAGCCCACCACCACCAGGACCGTTCACTCCCTCCTGTGCCTACCAGCACTCGCCCTCTCCCTCCTCTCCCTAGAGAGAGGCCCAGAGAGAGGAGGAGAGAGATATTAGAATGGGACTCGTTCCTGGCAGAGCTTGGTCTCCCTCCTCCACCACAGCAGGCTCCCTCTCTTCAGTTCCAGTCCCCTCCCTCCTCAAATCACGGGCATAGGCGGAGACGTCGGCACAGCGAGGACGAACTACGAGGTAGAGCTATCCTCGGGTTTACTGATCGGCCAATCGGATCACTTCATGATAATCCTTTCCTCATCCTCAGAGAGAGTTTCACAAGTACGTGTTGTTCTAATTAAAGCCCTTGCACGTGTGGCCCTAATTATAGCTCATATATGGCGTGATTGATACCTAATGCTTTTACATTATCGCTTTTACACTAACATGTCAATAAAGTTGCTCCCTTGTTATATTGACATTGTAATACTATTAATGCACTATAATGGCCGTATTGTTTGTATTTTGGGATTTGTTTTGATCGTCATACCTGTATAAATTTAAACCTTCTGTTATTTTTGCATGACATACCATATTACATTTACTACTTATTATTGGTAATCCCTTCTTCATGAGGGGGTTTTTGAACTAATAATGTTATACGTTATAATGTTTAATGTAAGCATTGACCATACATTGTGTTAATTAGCAGTATGAGTGGATATGGGCGTGTGTGTTACTTCTGTCTATTGACTATGACGTTAGATCGACTCAGTGTCTGGCCTGATGTCTGTTGTGTGCTATCATATACACCTAGTAGGTGGAATGTGCCAACCTGTCTTGATAGATTATTGTTTGTACATAATAACTGTATTATGTTAACTATTGAATGTAGCTATATCATAATGTTTGTGTGTGTATTCATTTTTACTTGTGTCATTTTCTTTACTCGTCATAATGGCTCCTTTCTATCTCTCTTGTATCCAAATTCTGTTCATTTTTGTAGTGAGAAAGTGTCCAGCTTGTTCACAGCTTATACCTTCTCTTGAGTACGACAGGCATTTCTCCAGCTGCTCCAATAAACAGACCATACAGTTTAATGGTAATTCCCATTTCTATATCGTCTCTCCAATTTTTTCTATGCCTCTTGATCTGTTTGTTTGTCTAATTTATTTAACTTCAAATTATTGCTTCCTCTTAAATGTACTTTGTTTATGTTACTGCTTAATCTGATGAGCAGTAGCAGATCCGTTGATTGCAATGTTATTTTTCATTAACAATTCTAAGAAATAATTACTGGATACCTCTTGTTATTAATCATTGTGTCCTCAAGTGATTTCATCTCTCTGTCTCCCCTCCCTTCCTCTCCCCCCACACACACAGAGGATACTCTATTGTCTGATGCAGGAGAGTGTAGCATCTGTCTCGATGACATGATGGCTGGTAAGTTTACAATGCCTCATTACTCTCTCATGGCCTCCTTTCTCTTGTCATAAAGGTGACGAAATCGCAAGATTGCCTTGCCTCTGCATTTATCACGTCAAGTAAGTAATGACACATTCATTGCGATCGCTGTGTGTGTGGATACGCATATTTTTATTGGTGCCAATATTTGTACAAATTTTTGTCACTAAATGGTATACATGTGTATTGTTGTAGTTATTCAAATTTCAAAAAAGCTCTTGTCATGCGTTGAATTGTTTCTCATCATTGATAGGTGTATTGGCGAATGGTTCAGAGTCAAGGAAGAATGTCCACAGCATCCTGACCTCAAGTTAGAATCGGGCTCCGCCTCATCGTAACCTCAATTATTATTATTTTTGCATAAATTATTTTTCTTGTATTGGATCATCATAATCATCAGGTTTGACCTCACAAACAGAAAATGTACTAAATAAATTGTCACTCTGAATAATAATAATAATAATAATAATTTTATTTTGCGAGAAAATTATAATACAACTATTTAAGTAACTAGAGTGTTGGCAAGAGTACATGATATTATGTACTCTCGGTATTAGTTAGATCTTTAAAGTATTTTGTTTATTTACTGGATGCACTCCTAAGTGGGTTCAGTTTCCCTTCACACACGGTACATGGTAGCCATTTCCTTGAGCCATATAGCACATGATAACTAACATACCACAGTGTCAGTGATATTATTAATGCTAGTATCTTCTCATAGAACGTGTGGAAATACAAGCAAGTGATGAGTATCATTAGTACGTTCAGTATAATCTCGATGGCTGCAATGATTTCAAACAGAACTACAGTAAAACTAGAAAGGGTGTGACTATAAATTACTGGCAATATTGTAGCCTTCCATTTAGGCTGTGGTGGTAAGATACGATAGTTACTGCAAGCCCAAGGACTGATGGCCATCACTTCTTCACTTATTATCATTGTAGAGAATGAGAGGAGGAACACGTGACCCGATATGTCAATGTCGCTCCATGTGCCGCCACCAGACAGACAATCGGAACGATTTGAAATGCTTTTATTAGAGCAAGCACCCACTGATCTTTGATAGGATAGGAATAACTGCGTCACTGAATACCATATGAGATGGTTTATGAGTAATCTGAACAGGTGACGGATGGCGTCTTTTAGTTCCATTCCAGTGTAAAGGATAGCCGTCAAAGATACTGTTGGGAGGAGGAAGAGGAGAGTCCAGGCCCAGTTGTATTTTACATAGTATCTGTTGAGAGGGAAGTCTTTACTGGGACCATCAGCTTCGCCTAGTTCATATAGCTCGGAATAAAAAGAGAAGGCAAAGACTATGAGAGAAAAGAGAGCGGCTTTCAGAAAAGGAGAGGAATACAAAAGAGTGTTCAAGCAGGGTCTTACAATGGACGCCATTTTAAGACAGAAATGGGAGTTGACGCCTTAGCCACTCCCACTAGTTAATTATCACTTTTAAAGTGTGAAAGATTTTGAAGATAAACACAAATTTGATTAGTGGTTTTTCTCAGTTCACCATGTCTTTCCTGGGCCTTTTAGGTGGCTCTGCCAAAAGCTCTGTTGATTTAGCTGAGTTACAAAGAAAGTATGTGTACCGTAGATATGATTGTTGTAATAATGTGCAGATAACATTCCTTTGTGTAACTTGACCTTCTCTATTGATACTCCTGACCAAACCGACCATTGATTTTATATACAATTATTATTATTATTATTTAATACAATAGGAACAGTCAGATTCAATATGATGAGATACAAAAGGTCACCAGTTCTGTACTTGGGAAAACAGAGCTTCGTCCTAAGCTGGGTATCATATGCGGATCAGGTCTTGGTGGTTTAGCTAATGAGGTTAAGGACTCTCAGGTAATACCTTACGCTGAGATTGATGGCTTTCCTAAATGCACAGGTAAAAGATTCAATGAAGTGTCTGTTGGTTTCTGTTTCATTGTTATGTTTTATAATCAAAAGTAGTCTTGGCATCAAGAGTACTCTTGTAAAATCCATGACCTTGTTATCATTCTGTTCCTTACTGTTAGCTGATTACAATGTGCCTGTGATGTTACCATTTATCACTTAACAATTGATCAATAGCTGTGAGAAAACAAAACAAATACAATATAACAAGTTTCATGGATTTTAAAATTCTAAATCAATTTAAAAAGTTTTAATAGCTAAAATATAGCAAATATTATAATTGCATACAGGCCATTCCTGAAAATATTCATTCTTCTTACTTTTCCTCCTCATACAGTTCCGGGTCATGCTGGTAATCTTGTCCTTGGTTATTTATCTGGTGTTCCTACTGTATGCATGCAGGGAAGATTGCATTTCTATGAGGGACACCCAGCATGGCTGGTAAGTGCATGCTCTTACAGTTTACAATCTTTATTTGGCTCTGGCTCATTATTTACTCATTCCCCATAGGTTACAATGCCAATTAGAATGATGAAGCTAATTGGCGTTGAGACTCTCATTGTAACGAATGCCTCTGGAGGTCTCAATCAAGATTACAACAGTGGTGACATAATGGTAATAAAGGATCACATTAACTTAACAGGGTTGACTGGTCAGCATCCTCTGGTGGGGCCAAACGATGAAAAGTTAGCCTAAAACATCTGGCAATCATGTTAATCATACCACATGAGTGATTTTTGTGAAAATGATTTAATCTTTAATGCTGGACACCTGACATAATCCTAGTAACTTTTAAATAAACAGCCTTATAAGTTATAATAGCTCAATAAGCAGATAAGACCACTATAAAGAAGTGGAGTGATTTCTAGTCCCAATTGTTTAAGAAACAAAGGAACATGTATTATCAATGTGTCATGAATAAAGATGGTTCATTCATTGCATTTTTCCATTAACAGCATAATGAAGTGGAATCATCTTTCACTTAACAAATAACAAAAATAGTTTTATATGTGTATACTATGCACAAAATACTATGAATATTAACTCACAACTCTTATTATTTTAGGTTTGGTCCACGTTTCCCAGCCATGACCACGCCTTATGATCCTGAATTAAGACAATTGGCTCAAGAGACAGCCAAGGAATTGGGTTTCTCTGGTTTCATGAGAGAAGGGGTTTATGTCAAAGTGAGTGGTCCAAGCTATGAGACCCCATCTGAGTCAAGACTTCTGCGTAGTATTGGAGCTGATACAGTAGGAATGAGCACTGCACCTGAAGTTGTGGTAGCAAGACATGCTGGGATGAAAGTACTAGGTAAGTAATGATGAAGTGATTATTATTACCATTATCTACTCTCTCTCTCTCTTTTGTAGGGTTTTCAATGGTTACTAATGTGGTTATTCTTGAACAAGATTCAGACAAAACACCACCAACACATCAGGAAGTGATGGATACTGCAAATGCACGTGCAAAAGACCTTCAACTTTTGGTTAAAACAATTGTAGGAAAACTAGCAAGCACACTTTAAGCTACAGAAACTGCTGCTACTGCTGCTGCTGCTATGCTGCATAAAAAAAGAGAAAGGACTATTTTAATACAGAGTGCTAATTTTTATATCACTATTTGTTACTTGTACAATGGAGAGATATTAGTTTTTATTACACATGTATGACTTTTATTTAATTTCACAAAAATACTTATGCTGACTCCACCTATTTCAGAGATCAAATTACAATGGCTGCAATGTCTCTGTTGAGTTTCGAGACCCCGGAAAGAAGAAGGTCTAGTGTAAACTTGGCTGAGATGCATAGAAAGTATGTACTGTAATAGATTATTGATTATCTGCATTCCTGCATAATTGAAATGAATAGTTGGTCTAGCCAATTAAGACTTGGCTGGGAGATCTTTTTTGTGCAATGTGCATTGATATTTTGATTTAAAAAAATGAACGACAGGGTCAGCCAGATCGAGCATGATGAGATACAAAAGGTCACCAGTTCTGTACTTGAGAAAACAAATCTCTGCCCTAAGCTGGGTATCATATGTGGATCAGGTCTTGGTGGTTTAGCTAATGAGATTAAGGATCCTCAGGTAATACCTTACGCTGAGATCGAGGGATTTCCTAAATGCACAGGTGAGAATTGGATTTGTTTTTCTTAACCTTTATAATTCCTTATTTCTCCAATTCTCCTCGTACAGTTCAGGGTCATGCTGGTAATCTTGTCCTTGGTTATTTATCTGGTGTTCCTACTGTATGCATGCAGGGAAGATTGCATTTCTACGAGGGACACCCAGCATGGCTGGTAAATGCATACTCTTACAATTTACAATCTTTATTTGGCTCTGGCTCATTATTTACTCATTCCCCATAGGTTACAATGCCAATTAGAATGATGAAGCTAATTGGCGTTGAGACTCTCATTGTAACGAATGCAGCAGGTGGTCTTAATCAAGATTATAAAAGTGGCGATGTAATGGTAATAAAGGATCACATTAACATGGTAGGAATGACCGGCCATCATCCTCTGGTGGGGCCAAACGATGATAAGTTAGTTATTTCTTTTAATGTCAAATTTTACATTTCAAAAGGTTTGGTCCACGGTTCCCTGCTATGACAGTCCCTTATGACCGGGAACTAAGACACCTGGCTCTTCAAACTGCAGAGGAGCTGGGCTTCTCATCTTTCATTAGAGAAGGAGTCTATCTCAGTCTAAGTGGTCCAAGCTATGAGACCCCATCTGAGTCAATATTTATGCGTAGTATTGGAGCTGATACAGTAGGAATGAGCACTGCACCTGAAGTTGTGGTAGCAAGACATGCTGGGATGAGAGTACTAGGTAAGTCTAATGATGTTATTACTTGTTACCATTATGTACTCTCTCTCTTCCTCTTTTGTAGGGTTTTCAATGGTTACTAATGTGGTTATTCTTGAACTAGATTCAGATGCAATCCCACCAACACATCAGGAAGTGATGGATACTGCAAATGCACGAGCAAAAGACCTTCAGCTCCTTGTTAAAACAATTGTAGGAAAACTAGCAAGCACACTTTAAGTAAAACAAACAAATAGTGCCAATCTTTGGTGAAACAATATGTGACACAAATGATTTGAAAAAAAAATTTTTGTCTAGTCTAGTTTATTAATTTATAACCTGCTTTTCATTCCTCCTCCAATCACCACTGTCTCTCCAGTCATGTAACATGCATCATCAGAGACCATGAATGAGACAGCACCAGCACAATCTGCTGGCTCACCAAATCTACATTGTAATTATATAAATACTAAAAGAATGTAACTTAAGGCCTAGCACCATGCGCTGTATGCATTATAGGAAAATACCTGTTTAGAGAAATTTTCTTCAAAGCCTCATTTGCAATCATGTCGTTTTTCCAAAGCTATAGATAGAAGAAAGGGACTTTGGAGAGTTTTATGCCTTATACTCACAGTTTCACTAAATCTTGTTTTTATGACACCAGGAGCCAAACAGTTAACACGAATATTGTCAGGTGCTAGTTCATCAGCTAAAACCTTTGTAAGACCAAAAAGAGCAGTCTTGCTCACAGAATAGGGACCTAGAAACTAAAAGGGGAAAATATTCCAAGGGACTATCATAAAATGGAAGTAACTAACATTAAATGGTTCATATCCACCAATAGAAGAGACAAATACAATATTTCCACTAAAAAGCCTAATAGTAAAACAGTGACAATTATAATAATATTAAAACCTTGTTTTTTTCAAGTGTGGATAAGCCTCTTTAGCAATCATTGCTGCAGATTTAACATTCACTTCAAAAATCTTCACAAAATTCATTAAAATATTACGTGACAAGCAAACCTACTTTATCCCATGCAGCTTCTGGTGTCTATAAGTAACATAATGATAAGAGATAGAATAATAAGAACATCTTTGTACCTCTAGTGTAGGTCCAAATGTTGGATTGACTGCAGCATTTGATACTAAAATGTGAAGCTGACCAAACCTTGATATTGCCTATTACCAGAAATATTAGCATTAACTATTATCTTTTAATATCTACTGCTACTCTCTCTTCTCCTTCATTACTTCACTTATTAAGTTCTTTCTGTCTTCATCTTTTCCCACGTGACACACGATCCCAGCCACAGCCTCATTCCCATGCTCAGTACGGAGTGTGTCAACTGCTCTATCAACGTTGACCTGTTTACGACTGCTGATCATTATCTTAGCACCATCTTTAGCTAATCGATCAGCAATTGCATAACCAATACTGAGAGAAACATTAACAAAATTAAATTTAAAACTACTCAAATTGATATTTTTAAAGCCTAGGCTATTATTTCAAAGTATCTCAAGCTGTATTACCCATCAGTCGATGCAGTTATGACAGCAACTTTCCCTTCAAGTTTCCTAGTCCCTACAGTGCTCATTGTCCTACAGCTGAGAAGAAAAAAAGGAGAGATCCTTGATAACATTTGCAAGCAAGACAGCCACACCCTCTGAAGTGAAATTATTAACCCTTTAGACCAAAATATGAGATTAGAATGGCGGAGCTTTCTCAGCCTCCAGTCACTTTTGTTCCTCTTAACTTTCTTAATCTCCATTAAATTGACTGTATCACTTCAGTTTGTGGATGTCTCGGATAATCTAAACCTTAGATCGGTGTCTGGTAACTTTTCAGTGGTCGCTGTCGCCGATCAAAATGGTGACAAAAGAAATGATCTATTTTTGGTTAAAGGCTCTCAAGGTATCCACATCAAGTTAGTGGTGATTTGTTTTATTTTCTGGCAGGTAACTTGGTAGTAATGACTTGGGATAATAAAGAGAAAGCTTTCAAGACATTTCACACACTAATGTAAGACATAATGCAAATTACGAGCAACTATTCTTAAGATTTGGGTGTCTAACAAATCTGTGTATTTATTATTATCATTAGGACAAAATTGACCGGAATTATATCTGTATCTGTTTTTGATTTTGATGGTGATGGATTGTTAGATTCCCTTGTGCGTTCAGCTGATTACCCTCCAGTTGTTTATTGGGGTAATGCACACGGGCCTAGTGGTAAGAGAGATCTATTTTTAGTAACAATAATGATGATGTCATTATTATAGGTCCTAATAATGTTACTATTCCTGTACCATCAGATTATAAAGCAGAAACACTTGTTATTGAGTGAGCATTACCGGTATATATAATAATAGACACATGTGATTTATTTGATAGTGGTAATGGTGATCATTTGCCTGATGTACTTGTGCTTTTGGATCAAGATCTTCAACTTTGGTCAAGTCAAGGAAAGAGGTGAAATAAAGAAAGTTGAATATTATTTTATTCTCTCTTTCCTTTTAGTCGTTCTTTTAATATCTCTCAAGTACTAAAGGGTCCTTTAGTTAATGTTATTGGTAGCTATTATGTTGACATTAATTCAGATTGTTTAGCTGGTACATAATTGTAACTATTATGTATGTATTATGGGTACAGTGCTCATTAGTAAAATGCTCATAACTCAAAAAATATTAGTCTGAATCGCCTCAAACTTTCTATACTGCATAAGGACATCAATATGTATCAAAAAATGTAATAAAAATTTGGGGTGATTTTGGAGCCATTTTTTGGAAAATACCCAAGGCTATAGCCTTGGGTATTTTTCAGGAATTTAGCATTTTCTTAAAATGGCCGTAACTTGAAAAATTGAAGTCGGAATCAGCTCAAACTTGCTACACAGCATAAGGACATCAATATGTATTGGAAAATGTAATAAAAATTTGGGGTGATTTTGGAGCCATTTTTTGGAAAAATCCCAAGGCTATAGCCTTGGGTATTTTTCAGAATTGAGGCATTTTCTTAAAATGGCTGTAACTTGAAAAATTGAAGTCGGAATCAGCTCAAACTTTCTACACAGCATAAGGGCATCAATATGTACAAGAAAATGTAATAAAAATTTAGAGTGATTTTGGAGCCATTTTTTTGGAAAAAGGGTATTTTAAAGAAAATGGTCAAGTTGCTCAAGCAGCTGTATTGTTCACAGTTTATACAAGTACAGGAATGTTAACCACATTTTGTGCAACCCATGAGAGCCTTTTACAATTAGTTGACTATAAAAGCAACAGTCTCTTGTCCATATGCTCATAATAGTTGTGATCTCTTTCCTGATGAGATGCACATAATTTTTGGAAGGGTTCAGACCCTGCACTACAAAAATTTTTAGCAATGAACATAACTCATAAATTTTAACTAGAGACAGCTCAAACTTTTTTATATGGAACATTAATGAGCATATGAACATGTACATGTCATCAATTATGAATCCTTATGTCCAGTGTTCTTTCAGACATTCTTATTGTGCGCCGTGATGAAGGGGAACCACCTTCCATTGACATCTGGTTAAGAGACCCAGTGGTAAGTATAGGTCTTCTATTCTTCCTTTCCCCCCCCTCCTTTTCTCTCCAGTACATGAACCTAACATGGAGTCAGTCAGTATCTTTACCTTTGCCTCCTTCTCAATCCCTTTATGGCAAACCTGCTTTTGCTGATATGAGTAAGTGAGGTGCTCATTATAACTATCAAATCCTTGTTGTCTTCATAAGATGGTGATGGACAAGTTGATATGATTATTCTCTCCTGTTCATCAGTCTCCTGCTCTCACCCTCTCCTTCATATCATGTATCAAGAGTTTAATGAGAAAACTGATGTTGTTCAGTGTCGTCCTTACACATGGAATGGCTGGAAATTGAAATGGGCGCAATCAGTAAGTAAACCAGCAGCTGCTACTGTAAATTTTATGGTTATTTTTTAGGTTACCCACTTCAATATCTCGTGGCCCCTTGATCCTAATTTTATAAAATATTATTTGCTAACTGTTGGTAAGGCTATAAAATGTCTTTTATTGTATGTACATGTATATAAGTAGTTATTTTCTTCTAGGTGATATTGATCTTGATCGCTTCCCTGACATTATAATCCCTACTTTTAACACTACAGCATTGAATAGTTCTGTTAGTCAAATTGCTCGTGTTTTCACTAACAAACCTTGTGAAATAAACTGTGGAGATGGTGCAACAGCAATCAGAAGACTTGAGCATGACAGCTCTGTGAGTTATCAATCCCCAGTCCTTTTATACTGTCCATCGCTTCTTTCCCTGCTCTCCAGTTATTCTCAAATGTTTATGGAGTCAACGCTGCTATCCTAATTGATCTCTTTGAAGATGTGAGAGGCTATGGAAGCTGTCTCCTAGCTGTGATTTACTTATTTCTTTTACATTTTAGGGTATTCCTGATGTATTGATTATCAGAGAGAAAGAGAGTGGAGGAGATGAGATTGTAGCCATGAGACAGGTTTTAAGCTCTGATCATATGTTTCTAAAGACATTAGGTATGTCAATTGCTGTCTGCATACAATTTGTATCTTTTTTTCATCAGTGTTGTCTGGGTATTGCTTTTCTCATTGCTCAAGTGGTCGTGAAGTAAGCCCACTTGAGTTTGTCCGTCATTTCTCTTGTATTACTAGCCTCTTGGTTCACTTTTGCCTGGAGCTGTAGTCAGCTACGAGACTCTGGATAGAAATGGACATAAAATTAAAGCTACAGGTACATCTACATGTAGTACATGCAGTCTTTAAAAATTATTTATATATAATTTGTTTTACTTTGCAGGCTCAGTATCTCAATCTTCCTCTTACCTCAATTGCCCTACATTGCCCTATGTTCTCCTAGGACTTGGTACTACTCCAAACTTTATCGAAACACTCTCTATTGGTTTGGCCAACAATGTCACAAGCTCATCTTGGTACATGAACTGGCCGCTCCTGGTACCAAACTCTCAGCTTATCCTCATACCCAGTCCAACCTATAAACCATCAAAGTTAGTAGAAGCATGAAAGTTTTAAGAATATTGCAGGACTTTCTATTAAATCATCATGACTAATGATATCTTGTTATTTTTATAGATGGACATTGCAGCTGTATTTGACTCCAAGTGGATTAGTGTATAGTGTTAGTGGGGTCCTCCTAAGTATATGCGTTGGACTCTTAATCATTATATTGCTACTACACACTAGGGAGAAGGTAATCAATGTGATTTGGATATTAATTTCATTTATTTATTTATTAGTATCAGGATTCAAAAGAGAGAAAGCAATCAAAGCAGAAGTTTTACTTCAATGCAATGTAACTAATAATAAATGTTATTTATATACAATGTAACTAATAATAGATGTTATATACATGTGTACAAATTTTATGATTTTTTCATCCAATCCACGTTATTAACTATTAACAAATAATTAACCAGTAGTTATTAATTACCACGTGCTGTGGCAATGGAGACTGTTAATGAGGAAGAAGCTGTTAGTTCGTGTTATTTGTAATGAGTTTAGTTTCTTTTAGGAAGAAATAGCTGGACAGTTGCCCGAATACTGTGCCCTTCTTAATGACATAGCAAATAAGGTAAGAGTGTGTGGTCACGTCATTTAAATGTCTCTACAAAATTTACCTTCAGGCTAATGATGTTAATAATCACGTGACTACTTTACATCAGTATATCAAGAGACAAGAATTTTCTACGGAGAAGGTATACACGTCCAATTTTAAATGTAAATTTAATGCAACAATAGGGTATTAGTTTACTGGAGCTAAAGTTTCACTTAATGTTAAAGTATGTATTGAATATGATTGTTTTGCCATCCCTCATATCTCTTGTTTACAGTTACTTGATAAACCTAGTACAAATAATGCTATTGAAAGCTAAAGGTGAATCAATATTGCCTCAACAAGAAGGAGAAGGAGGGAGTCTAGCAGTTGACAGGCTCATTGAGTTGAGGGTAGTGTTAGAAAAGATGAGGCCATTGGAAATGAAACTCAAATACCAGATCGACAAACTGGTCAAGGCCGCCTCTTCAACTGGTTTAGCAGGTTTGATTATACACACAATCTTTGACATTGATTAATCTCTGTTTTTTGATGTAAAATCTTTTTAAATGTGACATGGTTACCACTTCTATTCAACTTTTAGTATCTGTCAATGATCCTTTGAATTATAAACCTAATCCCAATAACCTTGTACCAAAAGTAAGTCAAGAAAGATATGAGATATATATATTTTTTTTATGATTTCAGATCAAGGAAAGTGATGGAAGGTCTATAGGGAGCAATCCTGGCAAGTATGTGCCTCCAAAAGTGAGGGCCATGCCTTTTGGTAAGTAACCATTATAGTCTATTCATCGTAATTATTGTTTTTTGCTGCTTTTCTAGAGGATGATACACAGAAGGAGGAGAAGAAACGTGAAAAGAAGAGAAGGAAGGCACTACAGAGCTCACTAGTTGAAGACTTAGCCGATGAACTCTCCGAAGCACCACGGGAGATCAAAGTCAGTATACTAAGCAGCAAACTCAGTAAACTCCAGTATTCCTTAGGAGGTGACTAGAGTCAGTTACCAACGAAAGAGGGAGAGAGCTGATGAAATGGAAAAGAGTAAGTATGAAGAGGATTATTTCGTTCGAATGCAAGGAAAGAAGAGACAGAGAACTGAAGGAATGACCGAGACTATTGATGACCTTCTCGACTTTGGAAGCGGACGAACAATAAAAGACAAGAAGAGAAAAGGAAGAGTAAGAGTAATGAGAAGAATGAACATTATCGTTAATTGTTTCAGGCATCAAAGATTGGCAAAAAGGCCGTCAAGAAATTTAAGAGTAGAGGTTAGTAGTAGCATAACGTTCAACTGTAAGGATCAATTTCTTTACTTTTTAGTGAGGAAAGGCAAAAGATAACAAAAAGCATTTAAAACAATTTTATTGACTAGTACAATAATAACTAAGGAGACACGCAAGAGTGGGAAAGAAAAAAAATCCAAGTTATTTTTTGTGTCATAATCTAAGCCTTCAAACTGAATACAAGACGCAAAAACTCTTCGTATGATATTCTTATCCAACCGTTCCTGTTGTGGTCATATGCTTGGAAGGAGTTAGTCAATGTCTAATAGAAGAAAAGAAGCATCATTGAGATTGAAGAGAAATGAGAGAGGGAGAGTGACTTACTTGTATTACCACACAGCATTGAATAAAGTCATCAAAGGCCACAGTGTTTGTCCCAGTCCTATCAAACTTCCTCACCAGCAAGCCATAAAACCGGTCAGACAATCGGTAACCTAGGCAACAGTAGCTATAACAACGGACACACCCACAACCTGTTCTTACCGAAACTGGTGAGAGCAGTCTTTAATTCAGTTTGATCGATGGAACCGGAATTGTCTTTGTCGTAACTTCTGAAAGTTGTTTGCCAGTCTTGGATGTATTTCCACAGTGCACCAAACTCTTGGAAGTTAATGGTCCCATTATGATCTCTGTCAAACATCCCTGGGGGGAGGGTAAAAGCGTGAAGCATTACGCTGTTATGTTTGACGGTTATTATGTCACAAACATTTTTGGTACATGTAAACTAATAATAGTTTGTAGTTTACCGATCATCAGTCTAACAGTTTCTGGATTGAATGGTGTCCATGTACCATTGCTCAATGCTTGCTGTAACTCATCAGATGAAATGCTACCACTTTTATCTTTATCAACCCTATGGACAAGAGAAAGAGGGAGTGGTCACTAAATGTTCTCATGTCTTACTTTTGAAATACACTCCATAAGAACTGCTGATCCGGTGGAGGCTGTTGTCCGTAGCCAGCATAAGACATGATTGCTAATGTGTCTCAGTTGTCTCTTCTCTCTGATAGGAAGTGACACAGCAGATGCCAAGTGCTATGATGAATTCAAGCTCGGTCAAATCAATTATTAAAAAACAGAACACGCCCATAAACATTAACTTAACACTATTCATTGATTGCAAATTATTACAAAATACAAATGCCTACCAAACTTTGGGAAACAAGTGAGTCTGTTGTTCTTTTAGCTAATAATGTCATTGTTATTAGGTCTCAGGGCTTGCCTGAACTCTCTCACTTTCTCTCTGAGGAGACAAGGAGCCAGAAGAGTATGCTACAGGGTATTATTGCCTTTGGGTGTGGGTGGAGTTGGAGGGGTATGGCTTATCAGAAATAATAATGGTAATTTCACAGATTTCTTTTTGTATAATTTCATTTTATTATAATAGGATTGGCTCGTTATAGATATTACTCTACCTCTGATGATGAAAAATTCAGACAAAGTACACGATTAATGCTATAAGCATTGTGACAGGGTTTTCCACTTTCTCTATAGCGAATCCAAATCAAAATGATGACCACAATTCTGATGGTCCTCCTAGTGGTTGGTCGTGGCCACAGCTCATGCCAATTTTATTGGCTATTGCGTATTTTTTATTCCGAGACACCTCTAGCCCAGTTCCATCGGTCCCATTCTCTTACTTTTTAAAAGAGATGCTTGAAAAAGGCGAGGTAATAATTAAATGAATAGTATGTGCTATATTTGTAATTTTAAGGCTCAAATGCATGTACATTGATGATCAATGCACTTGTAGATTCTTAATTTTATAAATGTGATGCACGTGATTCGCACATTAAGCATCACTACCTTTCATTATTAGTCATTATTATTAAATGTTATTGACAGTAAAGGTTAATGCATTACATTGTACTGTAATTATTATACTGCTCCATAATGCCTTGTGTGTCCTCTCTTCCGTCTGTTTCCCTTTGTAACGGTAGCTACTCGACACGTTGCGTATCTTGTTGCTGGTGGTAGTTCAAACGATGTCTCCAGCTCGCTATAAGT